CTTTCTTGCCAAAAATCTTACTCTGTATACATGCACGTGATACGTGCACAAAAGGCGGGAATAAAAGCGATGATGCGGAAATCGTTGCTTTCTCTCATCGAAACCGTCAAAAATCACTTCCATATTCGATCAAGGTCAGCGTTTGATTAGACCGGCCTTGGTGGATACAAAGGATCCACTCAATCGATCTTGATCTAGATCCAACCAATCGATCATGCCCTAAGTGTAGCGGAACAGCTCATAGGTGCTATGTACGTATACACGACAGTACAATGAGTCACTAGTGTATCCCTAGCTACCAAGAATGTACACAAATTGACTTCGCGGTCATCATCCCTTGCTGCGACAGCTGAGTGGCAGATGACGTGACATTGCTCAAAGAGGTACGTGAGCGCGTGAATATACCATCACGGACACCTACCAGAGCATACAAATTTGCAAAGAGACGGGAAGTTCTGCCTCCTCACAACGCATAGCGGTAGATTACAGTTGCACACTTGGGGGGGGGGGGTAATAGTCGGATTTCCTCATTCTAGGCCCGGGACCAGCTCCTGAAAGGTGGTATGGACCCCAGGTTGGGCCCCAGAGCCGATCATTCCCAATGCCCAATTTCAGTATCATCTGTCATCGGGTAAGGATGAACATGTAGCTCCACGCTACATTGTATCTGCTTGTTTCAGCTTCATCTTCCGCAGCACTTGAACAGACATATTAGAGACAGCACAGTAGTCCAGGAACAGGCAGAACAGTCAAGGAGGGAGAGACTCTAGCAAGGGTTGTACGAGAATATGCAGTAGCTATTAGCTCTTTCACATAAACAAATTCACAGCTGGATATTCCATGAACACTGGAATTGGTGAAAACTGCCATGGCGATCATGGCCGTACTCGTCGTACCAGTGGCGCCGGCCCCAAATTCGCTTTCGGGACAATCCTTTACAAAATTTAGAGCCAATAATCATAGCATTTCGTTAAAAATGGGTGCAAGCGACGAAAAGTGTACGGTCAATACCGTAGTGACCATAGCGTGTCCGACACCCTCTGAGTCACACTCTCTGGTTGCTGTAACATACGGTCCCTGGATATTGGAGCACGGGCAAGGATCATTTGGACTGTGTGATGCATCTTATCACACGGTGTACTAGTACCCTCATGCCTGTTTCTGACTTCTTTGTGTGTGTTCCTACATCTTGGACTCGCCAACACCTTCCCGGCCGTACGTGTCAAAACAGATTGTGCCGACCCTACCTCCGAAAGTGAGTTTACTTTTGAGTTTTGACACACTCAACCTACAAATTGCTACAATGCTAGCTCGTGCACCCGCGCGCACACACACACACACACGCACACACACACACACACACACACACACACACACACACACACACACACACATGCACACATGCGCGCACGCGCGCACACACACACACACACACACACACAAACTGGCCACGTGGGTCTCCCGGGAGAGGGAGAGAGAGAGAGATTCAAATGGAATCCAATTAGTTGTTGAATCGCCCAACCACCGAAACCCCACTAACACCCAGACTCTGAGTGTACTTGAAAATGATCCTACTTATGGACTCACCGCATTGCAGTAAGTGGGCGAGGGCAAGGTCCATAAAATGATCAATGGCAACAGACCGTGGCGATCCATCCCGATATCAAGCTGCAGTCACCCCTGGCCCGGTGAAAGACATACATGACTGAACTCAGTATGGTTTGCTATATTGGAGTGGATCTGACATGGACTTTGCCATAGTGCTATTAACTACGCAAGGGAATGAGCAGATTTGTCATGCCATCCTCATCAGACTCAGGCTCACTCACGCTCAGGCAAATGACTTGTCTTTCGTGTGCATGGTGGGTGGGTGTGCTGGCAGGATGTTTTGGGTAAATGCATGCGTGCGTGTCGATGACGTGCGTGAAGGCTCTGTATTCTACACGGCAGTCTAAAGCAGCTGTTGCTGCTTTGTCGAATAACAAGTTTCCTTCTACATCTATAAAATGTGCACCCCAAAATTGATTCCATCCTGCTATGCCTTTCTCATTTATACACAGCACAGGGCATTTTAAGCTACTGAAGTATTTCAATGTGTTAGTTACAATGAAGATATGTGATGCTCTGTGACTTTGCACACTGCAGGCCGTATTTTATGAGGACAAAGATCGACCGAAGGACACGATAATTCGTTGCGAGGGAATGCACAACCATGACGACTTCTTCAACCGGCTCCTGTGCTCACCAGCTTTCAATGGCCTTGTGGACTGTCTGCTCGGCGAGCCGTGCGAGGGTAACAATATGCAGTTCTTCAGTAAGCCACCCGGTGCAAAAGCAACACCACCGCATCAGGTACTAGCAGATCTGCAATGTGTTTATGTGCCGTGACTCACTGGATGTGCATGTACGGTTGATGGATTTTGTTGTTGCAATCAACCAAGCACATCGAATGATGTACAGTAAAACCTGTCAAGGCGACCACCTGCTTCAGAAGACCACTGCAACCAGGACCAAAGGATGCTATTTCCAGTCAAATGCAGGCTGGATAAGGAGACCACTTGGTAACAGCGACCGGGTTTTGAAGGTCCCTTGAGCGGTCGTCTTAGACTGGTTTCACTGTACTTCGGTGGAGCGCGTGACATCAGTACTACTAACATCACCTTTGCTGTGACACTCCGTTGGACCAGTAGCTTGCATGGTCAGCGTGGGTAGGTCTGCAGGGCAATAGCCTATAGGTGGAGCAAAGTGATGGCCATGTCCGCTAGGTGAAGAATACCACAAAACCCCTGATGATTGGTTACAACGAATCATAAGTGTTGTACTCCGCGGTGCATAATATATGGACTACGGGTAGCAGTGTCGACTCTGAGCACTCGCTCCAGCCAGAGGATTTCTACTTGTTACAGTGCAGTTGATACTTGAATTTGTTGGGCGTGACGTAGGTCTTCTCCTAGAAGGCTGCTTGATGTGTACAATGGTGCTGGCATTCGCGCACAATACATGTGCACAGTAAGACATCTTTGGGATGAACAATGCGGAGAAATTCGTCCACGGGCACTTCTCCTCTGAAAATCCTTGCCTGACGAATGCACACGCACTCGGTCTTCATGAGAGAGATTCCACTGCACACTGCATGGTCTGTACAACTCTTTTCTCCACCGATTTCCTTTTGTGACCATTCCATGCGAAGGATGGCCAATACTTCATGCACGATCAAGGCGTGACCCTATGGCTTGCACTGGACCGAGCAACGGAAGAAAATGGCTGCATGTTCTATGGTAAGAGTGTATGATGGCACTTTAACCCTCAAATCACACAGTACACACCTACTCAAACGGTTACGGTCTCATGGATCTACTTTTAAAATACTTATACCATGGTACAGTATACTACAAGACACGAAGACATTTTTTATGATCTCACTGATGAGACTTGACGTGTAGCATGATACATTTGCAGAACATGTTGTGCTTATTCCATTTCAGTGTGCTGTACCTGCTGCTCTTGCAGTGTATCTGCTGAAAGCATAGGCTTGGTCTGTGCAAGAAGTGGCAGAACTGTGAATGCTTTACAGGACTATGGGCACTGGACAAACCCGTGTAATGGTTTCTCGGCGATGTTATTGTGGTATTGATACAATTTGTGTGTGTGCATGTGTGTGTGTGTGTGTGTGTGTGTGTGTGTGTATGTGTGTGTATGTGTGTGTGTGTGTGTGCGTGTGTGAGATGGTGTGTGTGTGTGTGTGTGTGTGCGTGCGTGTGTGTGTGTGTGTGTGTGTGTGTGTGTGTGTGTGTGTGCGTGTGTGTGTGCGTGTGTGTATATATGTGTGTGTACGTGTGTGCGGTCCAGCTGATGCCTCACACAAACAAGGGTTACTGGAACATGTACGGACGGATCAGCTTGGTTTCAGTCAGCAGCTGAAGGTATGATTGACACTTTTATCACACGTGTACTTCAGAAGTACAGATAACCAATGCTTGCCTCTGCCAATGGCTTTTTAAACTGTTTCACTGGAATAACAGTTACTCTTCATGCTAGTAAAATGGTTGGTTTGAGCACACATGATATCAAAAGTGCATGAAAACAACAGACATGGTATGTAGCTTCTGAATGAGAATCTGCCCCTGTAAAATCTTGGGTTACAAGTTCTACCACTAATTGACGGAGAAGAAGAAACATTGGTGTAGATGGGGGCATCAGCAGGGTATGCCCCCCCCCCCCATGAGCGCGACCCAAAACAGCGCGGTTGACTTCAGCGCCCCCCCCCCCCCAAACTCCATTCCCATAACTGCTATTAACTGGACGTCCCCAAAACAGACCACCCCGTCAGCGCACACCCTCAATACAGGTCGACCCATTTACACTGAAACCCAAAGATGGACACTCGATTTGTCAAAGATTCTAATCTTACAATGTACGAATATTCTATGTTAGAAGTGAACCTGATACAAGTCAAACCGAACTGATCTTCACAGTGTCATTGGAGTACTACCGGTGCCCATGGTCCTTTCTATGTCACTTGCATTGCAAAGAGTACAGTCACAATAAACTGCTGATGATGTGTTCGGTTTGACTTGTATCAGGTTCACTTCTAACATAGAATGTTTGTGGATTATAACCTAACCGGTGTCCTATCCTGTATCATGTTATCCTTTCACCCATTCACGGCATAGTCCTTCCCCTGTCTGTCGCCATGTATAGACGGTACGTGACCTCTCACTACCCCGTACTACGCATGATACCATGCTCTGCTGGGCATGGCCTCCCTGACACTTCATTATATCTACACTCATCTGTCTGTAAATAAACCACTTCCCGCTTATGTCAGTACATGACACAACATGGTGTCAGAAGTGGGATTCGAACCCACGCCTACAAAAGTTGGCCAACATTTGTGAAGGTCACTGCATGCTACATGTATTGTGCATGCCAGGACAGTTGGCACTGCAATAAGTAATGATTTGCATGTGCCGTGCCTTTTTGTGACCTCTGCTAACTCAAAGGACTATGGTCAAGACCTGTGTGATACAGAGAAGTGCATGGCAGTGGAGCCAGCTTGCCTGCTGGGACATCATCCGTATACTGTTCATCGAGCCAACCCAAACGCGTAAGTACGGTGGCGTTACAGCTTGTGCCACTAACCGTCCCCACACCATCAAGCCATCCCAGCATGCTGTAGCCGCCTTACACTCTATAACTTAGTATAAGCCTATAGCTAACTGGCTCCACACCATCAAGCCAGCCATCTCAGCATTAGGCAAAGCCCGATTTTGCTAGTGAAGCTTCGATATTTTGCCGCATAATTTTGCTGGCTCATCGTCGATATTTTGCTTTCATTTTGCCAGGCCACTCGATATTTTGCTCCCTTTATGCTCCAAAATTTGTGTCACACGCGGGAAAACTGACCGAAAGTGGGTCACGTGGTGGCAAAAATGAGAAAAAGTGAGTCACGTGTTGGTAAAACTGTGCGAAAATGAGTCACGTGCACCGTAGAAGTGTAAAATCTCCCAATTTACAGAGAACACACCGATATTTTGCTCCATTTTGCCAGCAAATTCCCTTTCAAAATTCTTCGATATTTTGCTAGCAGAATTGCTAGCAAAATCGGGCTATGCCTACTCAGCATGCTGTGGCCGCCTTATACTCTGTAGCTAACTGGCACCGCACCATCAAGCCATCCTAGCATGCTGTAGCCGCCTTATACTCTATAGCTTACTGACCCCACACCCTCTTGAAGCCATCCCAGCATGCTGTAGCCGCATTATGTCCCGTAGCTAACCGGCCCCATACCTGCCCTCAAGCTACCCTGGCATACTGCAGTGGGGTATAATATCCTTGGCAAGCTTTTTTGGTTTGCTTGCTGCCTGCCTGGCCATGATAGGTCCTGGGTCACGTTCGATGTAGCAGGAACATTACGGGACAGAAGACCGTGTTGGGATGGCTAGGATAAGCCAAACAAATTTGCTGGCGTGTGATCTAGCCTGTTCAATGTTCCATGATTCTGCTGGCTGAATAATATATGTCTGCGTGTTCTTTTGGATTGCTTCGCTTCTGTAGCTCCACAAGTCACTGGCGACCAGCACTGGGTCTGACGTATTGGGAGAAGGTAACTTGCTGCTATACTGCAGGAGATGGTTATGGTATTCGCTATCCCTTACTAGTAGGGTGGGTTGGATACAGATTTTTCTAATTTCTGTGATCGTTTTTGTTTGCTCTTGCGTCTGTTTGTTCAATGGATAGTCTTGCAGGAACGATGCAGAACTTCACAAGCGACGACAGGTTTACCAGGAGCAGCTTATGAACAAGCTGGAGACAGAGGGAAGAATCTAACTGTCAGACAATGCTTTACATTGAAAGTTTCCTGGCAACACTCACGCCTCCAAGGCTCCAGCCAACAGCTATCCAAAGGAGCTGAAGTGTTATGTTTACTTCAATTCCGGAAGTACCATATGCCCACTGTATCCACATGAATGGAGCGCCATGAGTCACTGAGAACTTGATGTGACGGGGAATCTCAGGAAAGATCAAATGAGCTTCTTGAAACCTTGAAAGACTTGAGCCTTGAAATAGAATAGATTGACGCTTTCATTAACGTGTAGAATGCAGTGCCTGTGCAGATCGAGTGCAAACGTCCAGCCAACGTGCTATGGAGCGCTCATAGGCAATAGTAGCATTCACAGGGTATTGCACTTGTATAGTGTTGCCCCCCCCCCATGATGGCATCATGTGAAGGCCATGATTGCTTTGATGAATTGAAAAAGGATCATTTGATTTTGCTCCTTTGAACTTTTTGAAGTACTGACATGTACATATAGTATCGAGATTGTACTTTCTCTTCCTCAACAAGCTGTGACATTGACATTCAAAAGCAAAATAATTGATTTGTAATTTCTCCCCCCCCCCCCCCATAGCAAGAGTTTTCTTTTTTTCTTTTTACTTTCATGTAAAGTTCCCATAGCAAGAGTACAATAGACCTTGCCAACAAGCAACGTGTACTGAGTATGCTGTCCACAGCACTGATGTTTGTAGGCTCGCAAGTAAAGAGCAAGGGCGTCGGAACCGCACCGGCCGGGGCGGCCATGGCCGCCCCACTTTTTCGGGCGGTTTTTTTTTTTTTTTTTTTAGCACACTGCAACAAAGCGCGATGATCTCAGCGCAAACGTGGCAAATCCTTGTCCCCGATCGTGGTTTGTTGCAGAATCAAAAGTCCATGTACACTGAAATGGCACCAAATGCCTGGGAATGCTTGCAATTGGCTTCAATTTTTGAATTTTTTTCCCGGGGGAGGGTAATGTTTGTCCCCGATCGTAGCATCTTCTTGGTTTTTTGCAGAATCAAAAAGTCTTTTATTGTAGTTACCGTACACTGAAATGGCACCAAATGCCCGGAAATGCTTGCAATTGGCTTTAATTTTTGAAATTTTTTCACGGGGGAGGACCCCCGGACCCCCCTTCCATGGCCGCCCCACTTCCAAAGTCGTTCCGACGCGCCTGAAGAGGATGAATAATTATTAGTTGTAACCGTCAGAGTTGCACGCACGAGGTGATCGTCGGACAACAGTTGTAGCGCTGCATGAAAAAAGATGTTTCGAATAGCAATGAACTAAACAGCATTTACCAGTACACAGCTTCATTTCGAAAGCATGTGTCAACATTGTGCGGACAGTCAAGTACATGTTGGTGTATTTACTATTTTCAAGTATTTTGGAAGTTGAACAATTCTTTTTACTTAACTTCGATTGTCTGACCGATCATAGTGAAGAATAAAAGTTGCATATGATCAAATAGAGTGCTATGAATGATGATGCCCTTGGCATTGGACGAGACAAAACCCAAACAGTTGAGTCACGCGCCGAAGGACGTTGGGCCAATTCTTATCATAATTATGCTATGTATCAAGTGGCAAACCAATGCGTGTGTTGCCACTCCATACAAGACGTCTCCGTTTAGTAACGTCAAAGTTCATTGTGCAGAGTCGGTGAGCTGTGATGTTGGTAGATGCACATGACATGAATGCTGCATGACATCAGCCCACTCGCTTCCATCACCCAGCAGAAGCCAAGACACACCACGCCCCACCACACCACCGAACAAGGTAGCAATATGAGTCGATAACTTGAACTAACTTCTATAGCAAGCATCTGCTGGCACTGGAGGTCTAGACGGCACTAACATTAAAACAGTAAGATACTAGTGAAGAATAAAGACCAACAGGATACAGCTAGTAGAAACAGCAACATAGCCAGATCAGTCACTCAACACAGCTAGATCACTCACTCCACGATAACCAAAAAAGGAGTTAACACAATTACACTAACAAAAAAACGAGGACAAAGACGCTCGAAGGCGAATAAAAAGACGATGTTACGCAGCTGCAAAAAAGTACCGGTACGCTTTCCCAAATCTATGTGGCAACAGAAGCGGCTTCGATGCGGTTTGGTTCTTCGGCTGTGCGGGCGCTTCCTGGCCATGCGCACTGGCAGCATACGTCTGCACGCCAGTCGAGTGCGTAGCTGAGCGCTGCTGTGACGTGCACGACTGGCACGTTTCGAGCGTGGACTGAGCGTACGGTGACACCCACATGTCAGTGCTACGGGCAGGCGGTGCATTAGCAAGCGAGGCAGGTGGTCCCGACATGGTGTTGTTCTCGACAGCGCGGCTCGATGTGCAAACGGATTTACCGCATGCTGGTCCGGTACTACTCGCGGGTGTCAGCATCACTGGCTGGATGAATAAGACCACTGCAAGGAGGGTATAGGCAGAGAAGACAACACCGGCCACCTGCAAGAGGCTGCTGAGCACGATTCCACACTGACTCATAAGCACATCCCACAAGCAGGCAGCATCTTGGTACAGGAAGCCATAACCCGGGCGACGGATAGCTCTCAGGGCGAGTACACGCTCGACTCGCTTTAGAAACGACGTGAATTCCTCGTGGCTGACGTGCAATCTCCAGCCGATTTTATGGAGAAACGCACGCTCCATCTGATTGACTCTTTTCGTCTTCCGTCGTCCTGCCAACGCCATATCAGTGTTGAGGCACGAATCTGGCTCACCTTCGTCATACAAATACTTGTTCGCGGTCAACACACACATTAGAAATAGGTCAGCAGCACTGAAATTGAAATTGTCATCCGAGGGTGGATCAGTAGCCGGCTCGGCACAGGAGCAACCAGGTGCTGGCGCAGCAGCATGACTTAGCCTATCATCATCGGGCACAATGGTTGTTTCCTCACAAGACGAGCTTGAGGCAGCTTCTGCTGCCTGAAGTCGCTCGGCATACAACAAACCAACAATCAAGGCACAGGAGGAAACTTGCAGAGTCCTCTCAACAGCAGCGATGTCTCCAGCGTGCAGAGGCTTTTCACATGGTTTTGTACTATCCATGCAGAAAGCTCTACCATCCACCTGATCCCTCACCAAATCGTTCAGAAACTCTGTAGGATGGGAATGATCCAGGTCGTCTCCACAGAGCCCAGCTTGAGACCGAGCACAAACTTCAGCATCGCAGGAACTCAAGCCTGGAGTGTCGTGGGGAGCAAGTAGGTAAACACTAGAGCTACGCCTTTCTCCTAAACAACTTGCCATGGTATAGGAATGTAAGTATTCCCGGCAGACCTTGAACAATACGTACAAGCAGCTCCTCAACTCAAGCAAGAACTGAACAAGAGCAAAAAAACGAGAAAGCACGACCTTGCACTTCTTTTGAAGTTTTGTTGCAGACCAGATATGCAAGCATGTGTTGCCTGTAGCTGTTCCAGTGTGGTGTTGGATCTTGCAAGTACCGGTACATGTATACTTCCAGTAGCTCATGCATGCGCCAAGCACCGGTGCACCATCAATCATCAGCCCTGCACTAGGCTGCAGCCTGCTGAAGCTAGTTTTGAACGCGCGCGCACATGGCGCTTGGCCGTGCACGCGTGGCGCGCCGGCGCGGCGACGCGACGTACTACTTGTACCGTACACACACACCCTATACCGTACCGCGCCGCGTAGTACACATTATGACGCGCAATGACGGCGTGATCCTGCTGTATCCATGACAACACGTGCCACGTATAGCAATGTGACATCATTATCATGCATACTGTACTGTATACTGAGCTCATGAGTAGTCGCTGCCTCGCTGGACTTCAAAAAAGTCACAGGGAAACGAAACAAAAGACTTCACTTCAGAAGGCAATCATAATGAAGATGCCGCAGATATCGCGTACCGGCCACCTGGAATGACTTGTTCTTGTGGATTCGTAGTCGAGTCGTGACTTGAAGCTAGGGTTTACTAGTATCGGGAACTAACTTCACGCTTTGTAACTCAAGTGGACTCAGTCGGTGACTGTCTAAATTTGTCTTGATTTGTTGTGAAAGGAGTGGATAAAATTGCCCTCGCTGAGGGAGACAGTCCCAAGTAATGATCTCTTTTCAATTATGACTGGTGGAGAATCTGTCCAGCTGGAGCTGGAGGAGTTTTCTGGGTCTGGCGTAAGCAGTAGTAACGCTAAGCTACCTTCTCCAACCAAGCCCCAGCAGCCAGCCAATGGGAATGTTCAGCAGCCATTGCTGGAAGCTGTTGACTCCGATGTCGAGTCTGATATTGAGAATGGCGGTGCGGGCAGTGAATCCCTGGCGAGAGAAGTGCCCAATGAGGCCTCTGTTGCTAACACGGCTGCACAGGTGTTTTTTCCTTACATGATGTCAGGGTTTGGAACGGTGGGAGCTGGCCTTCTGCTCGATCATTCCCAGGTTAGTATTTACACATTATTTGAATTTTGAAAATTTCCTTTCTTTTCGTGTAGACTTTTTCAAGTACTTTGAATGCTGGTTGTTTGAGGTGTTCGTACTGTCGTTGTAGCCCTACACAGTAGTGTGATTGTAGCTGTACCGGAGCAGCACTCGTGGTGGTAGTTCTGGCTAGTTGTGACTTGAACCATGTCCTCCATCATGAATGTTGTGTGGATGTGTGTTGGGGGCATTGCTTGTACTCGATAAGTAATTTAGTTGATAGTAGTAGTGGTTTGTCTCGTGTATGCACGTGAGGCATGGGTCGTACAGGAGCAAGGCAGCTCGATATGCCGGCCTCCTTCCGCCCTTGTGGCGATGCGTACGTCGAGATAAGAACTTGGTCTGCGTGCTTGGATGAAATTCCTTGGCCTGTGAGGACACTAAGAGTGATTGACGATGGGTTTAACTTCCACAGTATGTGAAGTGCCTTGCCAGAAACACACAGGAGTGCACGCGGAAGCTTTCTACTCCCTGCTAGAGTGTGTGTGTGTGTGTAAAGGCAATCAATAATGCATTTCTCCCATCACTCCAGTATTTTGTTAGCAGTGTAGCCGTCCGCTGAGACAGTACCTCAGAATGCTGATGCCAGTGCAGCACCCGAGAGAGGTGCGACTGCTGTGTGCAAGATGGTTCCCAGCACAGCTTGCCAAGCAGCTGGTGATCCCATTCTTGTTTGCGGGTTGTGGAATGGCCGTAGCGGGAGCGTATCTTGACGTTGTGCAGGTGACCATGAGCTGCTTGTAATATGCATGGATGCAATGTGGCCAACCCAATCTTGAAATGCCACTGAATCTTCTTTTTTAAAATAAACGACGCGGAGACAACAATTTCGAAATACATGTAGCAGTAAAATAGGACAATTATGCCGTCATCACCCCGCGTCGACAAAGTCATGAAGGTTTTCCAAAGTCTTGAATCTTCTTTTTTCTTTACCTCCATTACCTATGTAGGCGAATGCTGCAAGTCCTACGTGTCATCTGCATGCCTTATTGGCCAGCGCACGGAATGATTGGTGCCAGTGTTGCCCCAGTAGCTGTTCAGTTAACTACCGTATTATCTCTAATATAAGCACGGTCCTTTATTTTTTCAATGCACCTCCGCCCCGTGCTATTAATGGAGACGTTCCTTTATTGGAGACTGTTCCATTATTATTTCAACCTCATTTCAGAGGCTTGTTGCCATGCCGAATTCATGTCAGACACACACATTTCAGGGTTTTTTTCGCCGGTACAGATAATGAATTTACACAGTGTGCTTATAATGGAGACGGAGCACTTTATTTTTTGAATGCCGCCCCAAGGTGTTCTATTATTGGAGACGTGCTATTATTGGAGACTGTGCTTATATTAGAGATAATACGGTATCTTACTAGTGGGCCAAGATGGATTAGATGCATGTACTACATGTAGTAGTATTCTGGGTTCTTCCTTGCCTTGCGTTTACTGGATGTAGTGCGTATGAGGTAGAAGTTCCGTTGAACACATTTGAAACATGTCGGCTATGGCGCACTGATAAGGAGAGATTTCTGCACGATGCTGACTGGGCATAGGTTGAAGTGTCATGTCAACGTCGTTCAACTCTGACTGTGTATGTGCGTGTGTGTGTTGTTGCTGTACTTTCTTTATGTGCATGTAGCACTTCCCTGTTTTTTTAGAAATACCAGAGTTGTTTATTCTCGTGCCTGCCCTGCTTGGTCTGAAAGGAAACCTTGAAATGACGCTGGCGTCCCGTCTTTCCACACAGGTTAGTCAAAATTTGAGGTGCTGTGTGCACGGCCGTGCGTACTCGTTTGTGTGTTTGTGTGTCTGTATTAACCTCCAAGCGTGTACTACACCAGCTATGGGGTCTGCGTCTCTGCGACTTCATAACTTCACATCATGTGACCAACCCGTACACATTCTTGCTATGGGGTCTGCGTCTCTGCAATGTCATAACTTCACATCATGTGACAAACCCGTACACATTCTTTGCACCAGTTGCACGATAGTCCAGCCTACAGCGTTGTACGCAACCCTGCTTTGGGTTCAACTCCCTGCTGGTCACTTCGCACTGTTTTCCAGCATACTAGTAACCGTTTTGAACCATGTTACGTGATATGAAGTTCTGCCGTTGCAGCACTGGATAGAGGTTGTGCAGGCAGTTGCGCACTCTCGCGGGTTTTGTACTCTTGATGCTGTTGACCTCCGTACCTCCCCTTCCCTATGCTGTATGGTTTCCTGGCAGGTTTCTACGAACTTTGTACGCGTTTCATCATTGTGCATCCGGCACATGGTAGCTGCTTTGGCTACGACTTTCTGGTGGTCACTTTCCACCGTTTGCTTGCGTAACCCACTGCGCCAACTTGTGTGATGTGAAACTCTGCCGTCACGGCGCTGGAAAGGGAAAACGAAGGCGGTTGCACACTGCTACGGGGGTTATGTCCTCTTGAACACTTTGGCTGATTTGGGCTGTTCACCTGTCGCTGCTTCATGAGGAGCGTATTTTACGTACGGAAGAACCGTATCTGTTGGCATGTGGCAGTTACTAGAAGTGTGTCTACAGTTGCGCTTGGTGAAATCCGACCCTAAGTGCAAAACTGGCGCCCTGGACCCGTTCGCATTACATCACTGTATAAATTGTACATGTGTACGTCCACCCGCATTTGTACCACTTCCAGGGTGTCGAGGGCGCCAAATATGCACTTCTAGTCGGACTTCACGGAGCTCAATTATGTACAGACTGTTAAATCTACTCTGTCTCTCTGCTCTGTATGCTCTGTGCATTGACCTTTTTAGGCGAATCTGGGCAGTATGGATGATAGGAAGACAGCATTAAAGCTATGCTTCGGTAATTTAGCTCTTGCACAGGTAAGGCGTGTTGAAATTTGCCATGCTTATATATTTTTTTGTCGCTGGGAAGTTGTCTCCTTTCCTTTGTGCATAGACCAGTTGTTGCGTGACCTGTTGTGAACTCAACTTGTGTTGCCAGTCTAGAGCTGCTTGTCACCACTTCCGGCCTTGCTAAAGGAAAACAAGTGTGAGCATAGGCCGTGTATGGTAGCCTTGAAAGCGAAGAAGCACGAGAGACATGCAGTATTCTGTATGCTAAATGCAGACTTTGAATTCATCAATAGAATTATAGTTTTGGAGACAAAGGCACCCTCCTAGTTCCTGTTTTGAAATCTTCCTTCAGAAATACGGTGGTAAATTGCCAGCAGTGCTGGAGGTAGTGCCTCACTGACTTCCACCCAAACTCTAACCATGGACTCGCACCTGCTGTCTGTGTTTGAGCTGTAGCCCGTTACCTTTCCGTTCTATGCTAACTTCTACTGTATCTGTGCCGTTCCGTTTCTTGTGCTCTGTGCTGCAGACACAGGCATTGGTTGTAGCGTTGATTGCAGCCATTGTGGCAATAGTACTGGGTGCACAGGATATGGGTGGCCCAGCTGGTCATGCTCACCCGGTCAGTCATTGGCGGCACGCTTCGCTGATGATCGGCGCTTCTCTCTTCACAGCATCCCTGGCTAGTCTCATCCTGGGCTGTGTGATGTGTCTAGTGGTGTACGGCTCTCATCGATTAAAAATTGATCCGGATAACGTTGCGACTCCGATAGCGGCCAGCCTGGGTGATATCACGACGCTGGCACTGCTGGTTGGTGTGTCCGATTTCATGTACGATCATCTCTATAGCAGTGAGTTTCAGTGCTGTGTGTGTTTGTGGGTGGGTGCGTGTGTGGATGTGAATGTGTTTGTCCGTAAATATCGATCTTTTACACGAAACCAGGGGCTGGTTGGGCGGAGAACTGTCATAACTAAGCCTTTTCGTTCCGTGAAAAATTATAATGCCGGTTGGCGCCTTAGCTTCGTGTGCGACTTTGTACTCACGACAGGTGACTGGCTGTAGAGACGCTGGTGGAATATGCATTATTTTCTTCATAGGCTGTAACTATAAAAGCCACTCTTTGCACCGTATCCCAATCCTCCATTCCCTGACATCACGTGGAGGTGAATGTTCATTGCTCAAAGCCATTAGCTGAGTGTTCTGTATACGGACTGGTATGCTAGTTCGGTATACTGTAGTAACATTGTGCGCCGGAGAAGTTATACAGCTCACGATGTTACCGCAGTGGCTTTCAGGTGCTTTTCTACAACACACATGCACGCACAGAGCACACAGCAAGAAGCCCACCAGCCTGTCAAGTTCTCCCCAACGTACCCTGTCCTCATTCCTCTTCTGCCCCGCCTTGTCTGTTCTTTGCTGCTCACTGTCGACAGGGCCCTGGGTAGGTGTAGTTCTGGCAATAGTATTCTTGCTGACTATACCCCTCTGGTGGACGATAGCACGGCGCAATGAGTTCACATGTGATGTACTACACTCGGGATGGTGGCCAGTGCTAATGGCTATGGTTATCAGCAGGTAAGGAACATGCAACTTGCTAGCAAGGGGAACAAAAAAACGATAAAAAAATTTCTCAAGTTTCCCGTAGAGACTCGGTTACCTTGCCTTCATATACCTGCGCTTTTTCTGATCTCCTTTATGTTGTCTGATGATTGGTTTTTGCCATGAAACTCTGAGCAATGACGAAACAGCCCTGTTTTACTTCATTTTGTGTACCTCTTGTGAGACTCGGTTACACTAAGGCCTCATTTACACGACAACGATTGAAAAACGTTTTTCAATCGTTTTCGAAACGTTTTTGCTGTTTACACGAAAACGATAATCGTGTACACTGCAACACTTTTTTCGGCGCGCAATGGTCACGTGCAAAAAGTTGGCCTGGCGCAGGCTGGCGGCGGCATGTTTTGAGTACAAGGCTCGTACTAGTAAAACGTTTTTGCCGTTTACACGAGAACGAAACGGAACGAAAACGATTGAAAAACACTTTGAGGCCGTTTTTCGTTTGAAACGTTTTTGAAACGTTTTTCAGCGTTGTCGTGTAAACGCTCTTATCCAAATCTGTTGAAGCGTATTCTTTTGAAAACGTTTTTGACAAAAACGTTTTTCAATCGTTGTCGTGTAAACGAGGCCTAAGTTTACCGCATCCGTAGGAACCTCACCGCCCTCAAGGATCAACCCCCTAGGTGCTAGGAAAGGCAGTGGTGTCATTTGCATGGCTATGGTCATTGTATGCAGGACTCTGGCTGCTTGAGTCTTGTGGTCCTGTGGAGAGATCACCATGTTGTATCTACATTGTATACCTGGTTTATTGCAGCACGTTGGACTGGTCACAGTGCACGAGTATTCTTGGTTTTACTTTTCACCAGGAGAGTGTGAGATCTGAGGTTCTATGACATGTGTCAGCTGATGACCAATTCCCTTGTCTCTTCCCCGGCGTTCCGCGCTGTGTGGGTGTGATCTTTCTTGTTTCCCCTCCTTTCTTCTTTTCCTCTCAAGTGGCGGTGGATTCATTTTGGACAAGGCCGTCACCCGGTATCAAGGCATTGCTGTGTTTGCACCTGTGATATGTGGTGAGTCCTGTTCTACACTGTTCTACACTACTGTGGCGCTAATGAAACTGGACAGTGAAGGTGGCTCTGTTGGGTGTAGTGTGGAACCAGAGCTTGACGAGTGCCTTTCGCTTATCCTGTTGCACTGTGTCCTTACGTCTACTTTAGCACCGTTGTACTTTTTCTTGTTTGACCTGAAGCTTGTTGTTTGTGCAAGGCGAGTGTGAGTTTCAGTAGTGATCACGGTACTGGTCTAAGTATCTCGCTGTCACTACTGTTCTGGCTACTGTGTGAGTGAGTGCCTTAGTGTGATGGTCAGTCACACGGCGGTTGTCCTAACTTAGCCCCCATCTCACTTGTTGTCGGCTCTCTTGTGCATTGTGCACTGCAGTACTACCCACTGCTGTGCAGAGTGTTGCTCATAGCGGTGTGGCTGCTGGTGAGGAGAGCTGGTGTTTCAGGTGTCTCTGCACTGCATTCACTGTGGCTTCGAAATCTTTGTGTCTGTGCTGGACTGTAACTTATTCAGACTTGTGACTCGTTGTTGTTTTTTTTGCTGTGGTGTTGGTCCTAGGTGTGGGTGGTAATCTGGTTGCCATCCAGGCTAGTCGCCTGTCCACTGGTCTGCATCAACGATTTTCTACCGGTGATCAGCGAGCTGTGCCGGAGAATGGCAGTTGCTGCGGGACGTTCCGGGGCTCTGGTGAGTGCGTGTACGCGTATCTGTGGTCCACTTCCCGGGCAAGGCCTGGATGGTGAAAGAGAGATTGATATTACTAGTACGGCAACGCAGATGGAAGCCAGTAGCGAGAAAAACGCGCATCCGCATAATCACATTATTTCGCTGTGGGGACGTTTGACAGTCTAGGAAAGGAAATGCTTTGTTCATGAGTCTTCCCGTTCTCTCTCTCTCTCCCTGTCTGTCTCTCTCTCTCTCCCTGTCTCTCTTTCTCCCTGTCTCTCTCTCTCGTAACTTACTCTCTCTCTCTCTCTCTCTCTCTCTCTCTCTCTCTCTCTCCCCCTGTATCTCTCTCTCTCTCTCTCTCTCTCTCTCTCTCTCTCTCTTCCCACCTATGCTGCTAATGAGTTGCAACTCATGTCCGATGTCTAGGGGTGAAACGAGTATCTATTTTGACCAATCGATCACTCATTCATAATATTCGATCGAGTACAGTCAACTTCGCTTATAACGACTGCGGATATAACGACAATTCGCGAATAACGACAGAATTTCCATGCCCAGAGCAAAATCCATTCTACCTGTATACATGTACTTAGACTTCGGGTATAACGACACTTCGCGAATAAGGACACTTTTCTGATGCCCCGCCGAGTGTCGTTATAAGCGAAGTTGACTGTATCCGATTATTTCGAGTATTTTATCAAAATTCAAAAGCGTTAGATTTGTGAGTTCTCGACCGAATCGGAAGAAATTATCTGTGATCATAGAACAAAAGTCGCCAATGTCTTGTACAGAGTGTAAAGTAACGATTTTCATCAGTATTTCATATCTCAGAACGTTAAATTAACCAACGTTACTTGCCGTGGTGATCGCATCGTCCAAGTCGTAAAATACTGACTCAAGATTATGCATGCATACCAGTGGGCGAGCGGTACAACCAAAGTTTTTGAAATATAGAATGGCAATACTAAAAAAAAAAAAACGATCGAGTGCAAAATTTCGAATACTTGCTCGTTTGAAATTTTCGAACGAATACTCGAACTAATCGTTTCACCCCTACCGATGTCCGACATGTAACTCGTATAACTGAATGGACACAGTTTTAATCCCAGTGCACAATATTAGTGTAGTCACTGTGTTGCGCACAGCATGCAACACAGCCATGTGAAGATGGTTGTGCAGTGTGTTCCGCATTGCTGATCCCGACGTGGCCCTATAAAGTTATGTGCACACTACTACTTTTACGTTCCATATTTGGCAATGTGCAAGTGGCGTGTTGGTGTTGGCGTTGTATTGTAAGATCAGTCATTGGTTTTTCATGTCTCTGTTGACAGTTCCATGTGCTTTTCTCCATTATTTTGCTGCTTCTCTCGCTCAGGTGGATCGGCCAGCACGGCCCGTCTTCTGCTGTTCCTTACTATCCCCGGCCATTTTGTGTTCTTGCTGACCATCCGGGCTGTTGAGCAGGGCGGCAGTCACACCAGTATCACACCATACTTTGCTGTTGGCTACTTCGTTGCAGCCTTCCTGCAGGTAGGCAGAGAGCTTTGCTGGTGATGTTTGGTCATTGCGGGTACATGCATGTAGAGGGGACGGCTCGATACCGGGACGCTTTGACAGCCAAATTTGTATAGACTCAAACCGATCATCAGCGTTGATTTTTCACTTGAAATATGTTTGTGGAAGGAAACTGGCATGTTGAAGTGTGCTCTGGGGCCAGAGTCAATCGAACTGAGCCACTCCTTTGTGTTGACCCATTGCCTCCAAGTTGCCCAATTTTTCGCTTCAAAAAAGTTCAAATCAGAGGTGGCTCCAAACCGGACACGTTTTAGAGTGCACGTCAAATTCACTCTGGGTCTGAAATTAGGTAATTGCTATCGCTCCACGACGGCCAGTACAGAGTAACAATAAGCCTTGTGTGTGCTTCCATTAGTTTTGATTGGTATGCGGTGCTTTATTGGCAAGAGGCGAGCCGCTGTTTACCTATGACAAGAAGTTGATTTTTCGAAAGTCGTAAAACTCAAGTCGCAGTGCGAAGCAACACGTCAAAAACTCACTTGCTTGATATGGCGCTTCTGGTCATCGCAGAGCCATGAAATTTTGGCTCGGAGTATAACACATCGTAGTCTCACTGTGACATATGTTTTCTAATCAAAATACCAAGAGAGAAAGTGAATACTGAGTCCGTTCCGGTTTGCAACTTGTGTCCTATTTGAAACCGTCCCCTCTACATCAGTTCTGTTCTGGATTAGGGAGAAGAATCATGCACCCGGGAGACCGCTGTGTCAAGATTTTCCATGAGGACAGACACAGCAACATGGTGTTGACGCTGGTTGCATTCTGTCGCTGCCTGCTTTTTCATCTCTTTTTGTCACATGATGGTACATCAGTATGTATACGATTCACCAACAGCACTATATGCAGCCGGAGGTTCGTAAACACCTGTGTAATGGTACATGTATGTTGATGTGGATGGTGTGTTTGTGGCCTGTTCAGGTGCTACTGTTGCTGATCGTGTCCAACTGGCTGGTACATTGGCTGTGGAGGCGAGGAACGGACCCAGACAACAGCGCCATACCGTACTTGACAGCACTGGGTGACCTTGTTGGCACAGCCTTGCTGGCCGTGGCTTTCATCACCTTGAACAAATATGGCGACGGAGATGCTGATGTAGGAGATTGATCACATTTCACGGAAAATAATTTATTTAATTATTTCAAGCTCGAAACTGATTTATAATGCAGTTGTTTCAGGTCTGTTCCCATTCTCTTTTTTATGCTTGAGTATACTCCATATAGTACAGGTCTACTTTAAATTTCAAGTCTTTTCCCATTCTCTCTTTTTTATGCTTGAGTAAAGTTAGGTCTATGTTTGTTAGTCGACACCCCCGGGGGGGGGGGGGGGGGTTCAACAATTATTATTATTATATACTATCTTGAATCAGGGGATTTTTGATGGTTGTCTTGTCTTCTAACCGATACTGTATTCCTTCTCTTCCTGTAAATATTTAGGCATCCTACATACAGAAATTGAACATGAAAATGAGTCGATATGTGAACTAGGTGGGTACCAGCAGCTGTGCAGCTTCACAGCTTTGTGAGCATTGCCATCATCCTGGTATGGATTTTCTTCAGACTTCTCACCTCCCCGAACCAATAGAAAATAAATGTGCAGCATAATCATTTTGATAGGACGGACATACAAGTATTTGGGTGTGCGTTCACGCAAAACAATATGTACAATAACCGTCACCTAGGAGAGCGTAAATAAAAGTAAGTAAGAGATGGAGATGAAACTGGTTGGTTTTAATGTCGTAAGCCGTTTTAACCTAACTTCAATGGAAGAAAACTAAGTGGTAGAGTGGGACAGATAGGGGGAGATTTCAGAACAGATTGAGATCATCTAGGAGCTGATCAAGGTCAATATTGGCCGCGTCAAGTTCAATGCCAATGGAAGCAGCCTCCTTGACTGCCTCCTCAGATTTCTGAATAAGTTCTTGCATCTTCACTTCATCGTCGTGAGAATCGTCTGGAAGAACAGAGCAACCAAAACGAATCCTGTGTAATAACGACTGCATTCAAGTTTGCAGCCAATAAGTGACTTCCTGGAGCTACCGATTGTTTTCGGCAAAATTCTGCAAAAATTTCGGGTACCCTTTAGCAGCCATGTTTTATTTTTGTGCAATTTTTACATAAATCATGATTTTAATTTATCTGGTCCCAGGTTGCATTTTGATATCATATTGTGATTCGCGAATTGATTTGTGTCTGATAGTTGCAGAGGCAGACCTACTAGGTGCGAAAATGCAACAACAATGCAGACATCCAGGGTGGAGTTGTAAATAATTGACTCCCGCCGGGAATGCGCGATCCCAGCGGTGTTGTTCCGTACTGACTGGATCATCGAAATCCAGACGGGTACCATTTTACTAACGGTACCAGAGATTAACGGGCGGGTACCCGGAACACCCCTTTGACCCCTAGTCAGAGGTGTCAGTGGCTAACATCAGCGCCTGGTATGATGAGTTTGGGAGGGGATTATGTACTCTTTATTCAATGAAATTAATCATACAGGAGCTGCTAACCCTGCGATTATCTTCAATGTTTGCTGACCTGAATCTGTATTTTTTCTTTACCATGTACGACTACAACAGTGCTGCTAAATGAAATCCACACTCAAGTTTGCACCTTGAATCATTTCGCAGCCCAGTGTTTGCAGGCCTAGGGCCACGCAAAGCCCGGCGCGTACTTGAGTGACGCGACTAGATTTCATTGAGCAACACTGTACTATGTAGTATGTGAAAACAGCCAATACTAATTGGAGCAACCTACCATTGCAAGAAAAGGCGAGAGAGAGAGAGAGAGAGAGAGAGAGAGAGAGAGAGAGAGAGAGAGAGAGAGAGAGACAGTGAGACAGTGAGACAGAGAGAGAGAGAGAGAGAGAGAGAGAGAGAGAGAGAGAGAGAGAGAGAGAGAGAGAGAGAGAGAGAGAGAGAGAGAGAGAGACACACACACACACACACACACACACAGAGAAAGAGAGAACATGTGTGTGTGTGTGTGTGTGTTTGTGTTACCTGATGATGTGGCGAAAAGTGTGTCAACATCGGCCGGCAAGCTGACATCCATTTTCAGTGGTGTAGATAGGAAACTGGCAAAATCAGTGCGATAGGCTTTTGTACAGTCCAACACTTCCCTGTCCAGGATGGGCCCTGTATCGCACGCACGCACACAATATATCAAAGAAGGAAGATACACAAATGCGTGTACAGTAAGTCTGTTGCAGCCCATGAAACAGGGAATAGCTCTTGGGCACCACACCCAGCACTCTGCAGCTAAAACGCATGTGCCATAGTTTCATAGAAACTCACGGCGCTGAACATGGCCAAGAACAATTCAGTATTATTTGGTTGGCCGCCACTGCACTTCAGTATGTTTAAGGCAATGCCAGGGCTGCCCTGTGAGTGCGTGTACAATACAGGCAGCCATGGCCATACATCCAATACTGCCAAAAGCCAACTTTGCAAGTCTCAACCGGAGAGCCCGATAGTACGGTAGAGTAGCTGGAGGGAACCGCGCTTACAATTCTGCCGTTGAAATCCACCACCAGATCAGAAGCAGCGGTCACACGGCGGGCAGCGGAATGAACAACAATGCTTGTGTTGAAGCGCTAGGTGAGATGCAAGGTCGACCAAGTCCGATGGCTGTTGGGATGATCCTGTGGGAGAGCACGTATGCACCTTCAGCCCACCAGCACTTCTAAACCGTCTACAACGACGTTGACAATGCTTTCCACCAGTCCGCTGGCTGACAGGCAGTTCACGGGGCCGCATTGCACATATGCCGCGTGTGTCCAGATACACTAAGACGGCGGTCGCAAACATAGTCAGCTTCGATGGTTGTGATGGTGGCAGAACATCAACGGACACAATATCCGCAAGGGTCGATCCTGGGCTGTTGTTAACCATGGAGTGTCCATGGATCGTAGGTCGTGATAAGCACGGTCTTCGGCCGAAGGCGCGGGCATTCTGCTGGACGAGCCTTGCCGAACCATCCAAACAGCAGCTGTTGAGGTTGACTGGCATCCGGCATTTGCGGAACATGCCCAAGCCACTCCATGCGCCACTTGCGGATGCTGGTGGACAGCAACTCGGGGTTCCCCCCACTTCGCCTCACCTCTTCATTGTCACCGAGTCCCAACAGTTACTGTTGGTCTCGCCAAGTCACACCAACCAAGACAACACGTAAGTAAGAGTGGTGGAATCCATCGATGCGCAACTCGTCACACCGCAGCAGGACTGGCCAACACTCGTAGCCGTATAGCAGTACTGACACCACATACACACTGTAAATCAATCTCTTATGCACACATGCACACACGCGCGCGCGCACACACAAAATTCTGCTGCACCCGGGTTAGTGGCGTTGTACGTGACGTCGTTTGCCCCGGACATGGTTTGAGGTTACGTTTTGTATACTCCTGTGTATCATCTACAAGACCGTTGCTGTAAGAGATGAAAAGTGGCATCGAATCTATGAGAAAAAGATTTTCTTCAACCCAGTCGAGAGAGTGAGCCGGGCTGATAGTAACACTGATAAAACTCAAGCTCGACATTTTACGTACGCTCACCTTCAGGTTTTTCCCGGAATGGCGTCATTCGTTCAATATCCGGCGGGTTCTCCAAGTCAACCTTTGCAGTTCGGCGACGACGACTTGAAGTTGCTGAGGACGAGTGAGAAACAGGTTTCGAATGACTCGAAGTTTTCTTGCTTGTGACATTACTTAGATTCGAAAGAGGAGCTCGAGATGTATTGGTGAGTTCACCAAGCGCCCTCCGCGCAGGCTTTGAACCTAACAGGCAAGCCACAGAACAACTATAAAATGTCAAAGTTCAAAGACTGCAATTCAAATTGCATTGATACACTCGTGTTTACCTGCTTGAGAATCAGCTGACTTGGCATTTCGTACGCCCTGCCCTACGTTTTCCTCGTTGCGAACACTTCGGTGGATTGAAGTGGAGGCCATTGCATCGTAAACACGACTGCAAAGAGCGAATGCAGGACGGGAAACGAAGTTAAGAGTGGAAGTTCCGTCTGCAAGAACTCTACACAGGACACATTCTAGCTTCTTGTTCTTCACAAATATCTCACTGCTGAAAACTGTGTGAGAAAATAGCCACTTTGTCTTTATCTTTATGAAAGTTTGTCCTTGCCGCGTCTTGAATTGACCAATCAGCTACACGTTGCCTGGGCTCCGTCAGCCTTCTCTGTTCTCACATCTGACTGTGTCGACTGTGAATCTGTGACGTCACCCAACCGTTCTAAATACGTCATGAAGAGCAGGGAGTAGTAAAATGTTTACTACTCCATGTCATGAAGTAACAACTAACTACTTATGTATTCATGTGTGTGTGTAGTTACATACTGTACTACAATTGTTGCAAGAGAATATGACCATGATAACTGGGGGGGGGGGGGGGGGGGGGGTACAGCATTGGGTATTATTAGTATTATGCTCCTCGACATTCGTGTTGTTGAGCACTCTCGGTAGGCTGTGGTGCCTCCTTTGCACCATGGCTGGTAGCTCGGCCTATTTAAAGCTCGTAGCTGTACTGACGAGGCCTTTTTTTATGGCCGAAACAGCTTGCTGTCTACAGCATTGGGTAACTGGGGGGTTATAATACTCTTGATACTAGTATGCCACAGCTGTGTGAGTGTGTAGATACAAGCATGTGCTTATGATTGTAGACCTATCAAGTGTATACATATCCGGTTAAAAAACCCTTGTTTATGGCCTCCTTTAGAAGATCTTGATTGTACTCTTGCCGTGCTAATAATAATCGTTCAAGCTGTGAGTAAAGAGTACATAAGCCTCGGTGGCCTGGCTCCCGGGGGGGGGGGGGGGGGGGTTATGTGATTGTACTATTGCCAGCAGTGATTACTACAGAAAAAAATTCTTTATACTGTAGCACTCCCTGCTTGCCATTCTTGCAAGTAAGTTAGTTGCAACTATTACTTGGTGATATCAAGTACATGGGTGCGCCATGCAGCAGCCATAGCAGTGGGGGAGTCTGCGGACACTCACCAGCTCACTGGGATTGCACAATGCAGCAGTTAGGGTGCTCGCTTCCGCTCACGCACGGGCGCCGGGCGGGCACGGATTTCTAGCGCACCGCTGCAAACAAAAATAGATTCGAAGAGCACCACTGCAAACAAAAAGCGTAATATGGGTACTTCAGTATTACTTTCATGAGTCATGATCAACACTTGACAAACAAACAAAAACAGCAGGGAAAAGAATGAAGATCGAAATAGTCCAGCTATCAACAAAAGAATGTACATCAATACACCACACATACAAGTAAAACAAATTTCTAAAATGAAGAAAGAATTGACCAGCAACCACAAAAAGAAAAAAGAAAGCAATGAATGAGCAGAAGAAGAAAAAGACACAGTCATGTACATGTACCACACGCACTGTACAAATAGCATCACGACAGTAATGATGTACTTTTAAAACAAACTTCCGCATGGTAAATGAATATACACAATCGGCTGTCTGGTGCAGCATGGGCATGCAATGCACCCGGGAGTCGTTTCCAGCATTGTTTGGCATGACTCCCTACAAAGCACTAAGCAATTAAGACCCCGGTAAACCCAATGACAAAGAGAAGACACTAGATTTCCGATACTAGTACACGCATATGTCGTGTGTTTCTAAATAATTATGTACATCATTCTAAAAAATGTCATAAGACAGACAGTTTTATGAGGGAGGGAGAGCGAGCGAGCGAGAGAGAGAGAGAGAGAGAGAGAGAGAGAGAGAGAGAGAGAGAGAGAGAGAGAGAGAGAGAGAGAGAGAGAGAGAGAGCAGCCTTAAGAATGGTTCCACTGCATCCTCCTTGGACACCAGGGCAGAAGACTGTGCGGTGGTGGCACGCAGTTCACTACGTTGGTTTGGGTGACGGCGTTTTAGCTTGCGCCGGACTCTGAGGACTGAGTTGCTGCAGCTGTTGTATTTGCGGGCTGAGCTGCGCCTGTTGGGACTGCTGCTGCTGCTGCTGTAGTTGCTGTTGTTGCACAACTCGCGGACTGGGCAGTTGTTGGACAACTTGCGGACTGGGCGGTCGTTTTTGCGCAACTTGCGGACTGAGCTGTTGCTGCACAACTTGCGGACTGAGCTGTGGTTGCACAGCCTGTGGACTGGGCGATTTTTGCGCAACTTGCGGACTGAGCTGTTGTTGCACAAGTTGTGGACTGAGCTGTTGTTGCACAAGTTGTGGACTGAGCTGTTGTCGCACCACCTGAGGACTGAGTTGCTGCTGTGATAGAACTTGTGGACTCAGCTGTTGTTGTGCCATCTGCGGACTAGGCTGCCGTGGCTGCCCCTCCAGTGTTATCCTGGGGCTGAGTTGCTGCTGCTGAGGTAGTTGTGGAACCTTTGGGCTAGATGGCTGTTGCTGCTGCTGCTGCTGCTGTACTTGCAACTGCTTTTGCTGCAGCAGCTGTTGTTGTTGCTGCTGCTGCTGTGCAAGCTTGACTTGGAGTTGCTGCTGTGCTGTCAGTTGTGCTATACGTTGCTGTTGAGTTGTTGGGGTCACTGGGGACTGTGCTTGCTGTTGCTGCTGCTGTGCTTGACTCTGCGTTGGCTGCAGGGGAAGTAGCTGCGATTGGGTTGTCTGGATGGGCGTTGCGACAGGCGAAGAAGCCGTTGACGGTGTCAGCGAGATCGGCGACGTCATGGTCTTGATCATGGCCGGTGTGCGCGGCACGGGCGTGCCTGGGTTGGAGGGAGTGGACGATGTTGACGCCGGCGCTGACACACGCAATGACGTCGGCGCACTGGCTGTGCTGGTGGGTGCAGTCTTGGTCACGTGCACCGTGCCAGTCTTGCGCAGAGCAGTGACCGAGTTACAGAGGTGGGAGCCCAGGTAACCGTAGTCCTTGGAGTAGTCATCGGGCACATCTGGAGGCGAGCGGACTCTCTTCAAGACCTGAGGAAGGTGGCGCTGGATATATAACACACGCGTGGACAAGAACACAAGAACACAACGATACGATCAATGGCTACGCGCTACAACTCAAACGCACTGACTACCCAACCACAGCTGGGCACCCCGCTACACTGGACATAGACTACTCACAACACCACTCTTGCCTGCAGCTGTTCACGAATTCTGCAGAGGGCAAGCGCCTAAGTCGGGATACCCGTGTGCTACAAGCCGTGCTGCTTGTGCGGGGAGTGTGTTCAGAGCAGAGAGGAAGTGACTAAGTCGCAATATCTATGCTACCACACACCGATACAGGAAAATGCAGAACATTGTGATAATATCTATCAGCGCTCAGAGGTCTGACGCATGTGCTTCCATATCCATAAATGCTGGAGAATTTTTTTACATGTTGATGAAGTTACAGCCTTAGTTGTTCTTACTAGTAGGACTGTTCTTTGAAAGCACACGCTTACTGCACACGCTTACTGCACACGCTTACTGCACACGAGCACAACATGGCAGCCCCAAAAATCTCATCTCGAGCATCACAGTGCCGCACTCTGTTTTCCAGCAGGAGAGAAAAGGTCACGGGCAGATGACCATGCAAAGGACACTGTCACACACAGCACAAGGGCACACTCACAAGCAGGAAGCTCTGCACGCTTTCAGCGGCCACTTTCTGGACCTGCGAACCGCTGTTAATGGCATTGAGTAACAGCCTACCCTCCACCACCAGTTGTGGCAAGACCACCGTGCGTACAACCTGTACAAATCCACAATGGACAAATAAACACAAGATACACAACAGAATTCTAAAAATATAAATAAAGAAGAAGGGCTGAGTCTTCATGCAGCTTCATCTGTGAAAGGAATCCGGGTGGACAGACCCATTCCCATATTCATTGTTACCTGACAAGTTACCTGACAAGTGCCGAAACGTAAAATAACGGAACTGGTTCGGATGTGCAGGGCTATGGGAATGGGTGTGTCCACCCGAATTCCTTTCATAAATAAAGAAGAAGGCGGAATAGAACATTCATGCTGCTGACAAGCAAACGGCAAAGCTCTCGGAAGCTACACTGGGGCTGGCAAGAAAGGGATAAAGCAAGTTGTGCAACAACAGCTCAGCTCGCAAGTTACGCAACAACAACAGCAGCAGCAGCAGTCCTAACAGGCGCAGCTCAGCCCACAAATACAGCAGCTGCAGCAACTCAGTCCTCAGAGTCTGGGGCAAGCTCAAACGCCGTCACCCAAACCAACGCAGCGAACTGCGGCACTTAGTGCAGTATTGCCCGCGGTATGCGTACCCAAGAAGAAAGCAACCTACCTCTGGTCCCATCTCAAAGAACGTTGCCAAAGCACCAAAGTGCGTTGACAGGGCAGCCTTCACATCGTAAAATGCCTGCAACACCAAGAGACAAGGAAACACCAGCCAACATGAAACTCTGCAGAAATATGACACATCAGAACAATCTCTATCTAATTCAGAGACTCCACCACCAGTCACAGGTGTTAAACAAGTTAAACAAGGCAGAGACACCATCACCAGTCACAGGTGTTAAACAAGTTAAACAAGGCAGAGACACCATCACCAGTCACAGGTGTTAAACAAGTTAAACAAGGCAGAGACACCATCACCAGTCACAGGTGTTAAACAAGTTAAACAAGGCAGAGACACCATCACCAGTCACAGGTGTTAAACAAGGCGCAGGTGTAGAGTACAATCAATCGTCCGCAAACTGGAGACTCAGCAGACATGAACACTATCCCCTGCATCCACGCAAGAGGCCCACGCCCATCATTCTAGCTGGCTAGAGATGACTTAGGAACATCAGATGCTCACTTGCAAACTATCTGCTTCACATTGCTGAACAGATGTCCCTGGACCTACCGTTAGTTTCCAAGGGCTAGGTTTGATTAAAGGCATCAGTTGTTCCTTCACTATACTGCTACTTCCAAGTACAAATGTAGTACATGTAGTTTCAACGCACGCATATCGCCCGAGCACTAGGTGCAATGCCCTCTTAAAGCCAAAACATTACATTCAAGTTTGCATCAGTTTCTACTGAAATGCATGTTCGGGGTGCATCGAGAATTCCACGAACACATCCAAATTAGAAGTGCGGCTTATACCCGGAAATTAGGGTGCATACAAACACACAGCACACCATCCAACCTGGACAAGCATTTTTGTTACACGCTTCTGAAGCTCATTTGTCGTTGTCGTGAAGTTTCTGTGAAGGAAACACACACAGACACAGAGACAGATACACATACAGTCACACACACGCACACACATGCACACACATGCACACACACGCACACATACACACGCGTACTGTTAAGTACTCCGGGTACAATTCTTCAACAGCTGACACAATAAAGAATTTTTCATCCAGCGCATGCGCAGATTGAATAACTACTGAATAGAGCGGTTGTCAGTTGACAACCCCCCCCCCCCCTTTTCTCCTTTTCTTCATAATGCAGTTGCGTGATGTCCACTACTTTCCAGTGAGAAAATTGGTACAAAATGTACCGAAGAGAAGAGCAGAGTCTACTTGGCAACGTGATCCAGCACTACGGTAACTTATCGCCAGCTTCCGGCAGTGAGAGTCGGAGCGTATGGTTTCTAGCTCATAATCAGCTGAGGAAAAACACGAAACTTACTTGCACATCGCAGCTAGCAGCTTTCCCGCTTCGTGTCTCAACGACCAGTGATCTTCAACTTCGGGTCGCAGACACAGTTGCCGACTTACGACACATGTGATTATGACGGGTAGAAGTTCGTGCAGCTACATACGCACACATCAGACAAACAGACACACAGACATACAAAGTCAACAATAGGAAGTAGAAGTGGAAGCTCCTTGCTAACAGGCAAGATCGCATACAGAAACCTAGTGCGGATGCTAACGGAAGTCTGGCTCATGATGGCCACATCTGTGCCTCAGCTATATGCACATGCACTACCTTGATGTCACGCTGTCTAGCAATCTACAGTTGTGCTCAATGAAACCTAGCCTGGTGAATACTAGTAAGCTAGTGCCCAAGCACCAGTACGCAGCCCGGCGTTCTCAGGTCTGGAGTTGCACAGCGTCCAGCGCCAGTTGACACACAAGTCAGGGATTTCATTGGAGCAGCACCATATCACATGCACAAAACAAAATTACTACCGTATTTTCCGGAGTATAGTGCGCACTTTAGATGTGCTATTTTAGGCCCGAAATCGCAGGTGCGCACTATGCTCCAAATATGAAATGCATGTACTTCAATGAAGATTGAAGTGCGCACCCCCAATGAAGATCGGGGGTGCGCATTATACAAAGGTGCGCACTACTGTATAAGCAGAAAAATTCGTCTGGAATTTAATTTCGTCTTTTTCGTCCAAGGAGCTTTTGGACTAAATTAAATGTAGGACTAATGTCGATTTGCCCAGCTTTTCTATACACTCTTATGATCCATGGACGAAATTTTCAACCGGACGAACTCCTTTTCTTTGGAGTTGGACGAAATTATTGACCGACGAAATTTTCTGCCTCTACCGTATACTCCGGAAAATACGGTAGTCGGCCTGCTTCCCATTCCTATCATTTCTGAACTCACCACTGAAGTAAAATTTTACAGTAAACATTGCAAAGGAGTAGAGATGGAAGAAGACTTTGCAACCCTGCACTCCTACAAAAAGCATGTGCGTTGGCAAAGCGGGATGAAGATGAAGGGGAAGAGTATCGGGAAGAGGTACTGAAGCGGCGATGCCCTCACGGGGATCAAGTTGTTCACGGAGGTCGTTATGTCTGTACACGCTCCGGAAGCACTTGTGCCGTGTGCTGCATTGCTTTCCCCACGCTGTACTCAAAGAGCTCACCACTGTTGCATTCCAGCATGAAACGTTACTGATATTCTTTCCTTTTCAATCTCTGTTTTCCGTTGATTTGATATGAGAGTAAGAGAGCAGCAGTTAGCGTGAGAGACTATTAAAATGACCTTCGACCACCAGGTGATACTACAGTATATGATAGGTCAACGGTGACAATGTCCCAGAACCCCCACCACGCTAACTACTTACCATCCCCCCCCCCCCCCCCCCCCCTCAGCAAGCACTTCAACAACTCACATATTTCTCCAAATACAGGGACGAGTTGTCCATCAAGGCTTTTGCCATGCGCACTAGGTGCCTCAGGACTGGCAGGTTCTTGTGCACAACATTCAGCTTCACCTGTATCAGTATACGCAGTCGGTACACAAGAGGACAACAGAAAACCACAGGTTCTTCATTGACTTGCATTATACGGCTAGCTATTACTAGGCACGACCAGGGAGATGATGGCTGCACCTAAAGTGCATTGTGTATTGAGATGGTTGCACCACAAGTGCATTGTGTATCGAGATGGCTGCACCACAAGTGCCCATCGTGTATCATGCATGATAGCGCCAATGTCATGTCAACAGCTTCAAATCACCGGTCCCAGTCAGCGGCACTATAACATTCAGGCTTCATCCAGATCCATGCATCATCTTCACAGCACTCTCCAAATGGCTTCTGGGCTACACCAATCACTAAAAGAAAAAGAAACCAGTGAATATTATTCGAATTTTTGCGCAAGGCCCATCTTCAGGAATATTATCTCTTTTTCTTTTAGTGATTGGTGTAGCCCAGAGACCGTTTGGAGAGTGACGTGAAGATGTATGGATATAGTGGATGGCTACAATGGAGTCTTCGCACTTTGAGAAAGGCTTCATCTAGTGTAGCACTTCTTAAGATAACAACGCAACACCAGCACACACACTTGTGTGACATGGCACTACGGAAAAGAGCACAGCATCTTACGGCCAATGAGAGCAAACCATATTGCACATCATAACATTAGTCATTACCGGCATGATCCCAGGGACACGTGATAGTAAGCTGTCATAACATTACTGGCATGATCACAGGGACACGTGACAGTAAGCTGGCCAAACACGGTTTTCCGTCCCGACGGAACTTACACCAACCAGCCATTCAACACACCCTGCGGCCAGACAACGTTCATACAGGGGTTGAGGGCGGCAGGGGCCAAACAAACACAGTCAAACACAAATAGAGGAAGGAAGGCATGAAAAGCAGGAATCCACCTCACTGCAGTGAATATCATTATCTGCCACAGCAAATCTGCCCCAGTGCACTCACGCCTTCGCAGATGAACAAGCTGAACCGGGGTAAAAGCTGATAGAGGCCGGGATCCGTGGACAAACTATTGAGTGCTTCCTGCAACACCACAGCATAACAGGAAACACAACAACAAAGCCCAGGCCATGAAGCGAGAAAGAAAACGTAAATGGAGAGGTACATCAGACCTCAAAGCTACTCCAGACAGACATACATGTACGTATACTACCAGCACAGGCCAGTGCCATGGCAATGGCAGGGCCAAGTTGCACTGCAGTTCTGCAGCATGTCCTCAATTACAACATTCTTATGGCCGGAAAGCAGTGTGGCTCCACTGACACTCAGCATTCATAGAGCAGTACTCATTCGAGTACCGTAACATCAAAGTACTTTGCTCTCGGAGAGAATTCCAAGAAGCCCAAGATTACGGAAATCTGATACCAGAGCCAAAGCTATGCTCAGAATAAGATAAAAATTAAACTTTTTCAAATTTTGTCCAAAAGTAAAATAAAACTATAGGAGGCCAGAGAAGGCTCTTCTCCAGAGATTCACCGAAAAACATTATCAAATTTCATCTCCACCTTGCCGATAAACTCAAAAAAGCAGTCAAGATGTAGTCAAAATTACTCCTAAAAAGTTGTACCGCCCCAGCCACTATACTAGTTCAAAAACAAAGTGCGGTCAAGCCAGTCATCCACCCCACCATGGCGAGGGCCATTTTCAGGAAACTGCGTCAAATACATAAGCTATTTCAAGTACAGTGACCTATGTGTGGCCCACACAGTGTGCACTGGCTGAAGTGCTGCCGGACAGCTTGCTATCAAGTTTTCACACCTTGCGCGTTGGTATGGGATAGGCTCGTGATTATGGAAACAGACAACATCAACCATTGAAGAATACACAATCTTTACAGCTTACACACACACACACACACACACACACACACACACACACACACACACACACACACACACACACACACACACACACACACACACACACACACACACACACACACACACACACACACACACACACACACACACACACACACACACACACACACACACACACACACATGCACAGACTTACGGTTCTCTTTGCATCACTTGGACCTACGCAGGACTCTGTGATCTCTTTGAAGAACAGTTGCTGTTCCTGTAGACGCAGTACACACACAGAACATAACCAGGGTGTAGAATTTCATCAACACACGACTTGTGGCCTGATAGATCAACTAAAATGCTGGATAGAAACATCTGACCCACATGTTCCATGAAGCAGTGTACTTCATATAACAGTCTCCTGAACATACAGTCTTGGACTCTTGGCCAAAGAATTTTAATCTATTCTATTCCACAATCACGATGACATAGTGCCAATAAACATGTGATGCGGGCGATTTTAACCAGATCCGACCCGCGAGTCAAAAGTAGCGCCGCGTTTCCATTTCAATGACATCATGCATGTTCCCAAAACTGATCCGAGTGCCGCAGGGGCCGCATGAGCCTTGGTGCTGCTTTCGGCACGTGGGTTAGATTTCTTTGGCTGTAGTTCTGACATGGGCATCCAATGCAAGGCACATGGGCAGAAGCAGATGCTCCAATTTGGCCTTCTCTCGTGTTCACTTGAAATTCAAGTGAACATGAGAGAAGGCTAAATTGGAGTCACACACATAATATATGCAGGCTACACGTACATCTTCACCTACAAGAAGTTCACAGGCAATTTATTTTAGAACCGGAAAAATTGCACAAAATTCAGCCCTTTCAGGGAGGAAACTATGCTTGGCACCAGCAACATGGAAGTAAAGCAGATGTTTGTGACAGTGATTGCAAAGTGATGGTGATGATAGATGGTATTAGCATCGTGCATCAAGGGAGTACAAAGGTACGGGCCTACTTCCTGTGTGATAATTATTTTAAAATGATTATACTAACATAAGATAATTTTGCACCAATGCAGCCAGCCACAGCTGGATTGTCAGGTATGCTCATGCCCATATGGTGATACTGGTCAAGGAGCAAACATGTGATGCACTCGTGACACGCAGCGGCACCCCATACAGGAAGTGGGCATACCCAAAACAGGAAGTGCACAACACACAAGTGCACACAACATGCGCCTGCTACAGAGTGGAGCTACCCTGACACATGGAGCAGATGTCGAACACTAACGGCGCCACTATGCCGCTAAGAGGCGCAACCGGGAAAAGAGGAACAAAACAACGAGTTTGTAACACCAGCCTGTCAGTGATTGTCGAAATGTACCACAGTTGACTTCTCATTGTCTGCTGTAAATGATGGCAAGAAGACTGGGTGATGAGCAATGGGTCAAAGCAGTCAGCGTCTTTCTTCACATTCTTCACATGGTTGGACTATTAGCATCAAACCGAAGTTCTGCTGCCAGCCCTCAGCCCTCGCCAGCAGGGATACTTCGCTCACAGCCAACATTCCAGTACCCTAAGTCTCCTGGCTCACCAGGGTATTCAATGTTTGGTACAGGTTCTGGCAGGCCATACCGTATACCCCACCAGGCATCACCAAGCATCACAATGCTCTGCAACGGCCAAGAGGTCATTGTACGCATCGGAAACTTTCGCCATGATACGGCAACTGTGGAGCTTCGCACCATGCCAGTGAATCCTGGTCACCTGCATGTGTGGCAGCTGGCAGCGACACTCAACTTCTCATCTCTCCCATCTCCATGCAAACAGAGTGACACGTTCCGACCATCTCTCGCTGTAAGTCCAACACAGACTGACCTGATTTTCTTTGGGTTCGGTCCTCATCCACTGTGCAATCAAGTATTCGTGTGGACAGAGGACACACTTCACAAACTAAACATCACAGGCGGTGAACGGGTTGCTCACTATCTGCATTCAATAGCAGCTCTCCCGTACAACGTTGATGGAAAGTCCAAGAAGCCCTATCGACTCCTCTCCTATGGTGGGTTATTGTGTGATTCTCTTCGGGCTAAACTACGTGAGAACTGCATTGCGTCGAATGTCTTTTGGCAATTAGTTATCCACAATTCCAGCAAGGAGGGAACATGGCAGCAAGTACAGGTCACGGATACCTGGATGAACCCACCAGCCTTAGTCGCACCAACACTTTTGAGCGCAGGTAGCTCGATCATCTTAACTAGTGGTTTCACTGAAACATACTATCAACTAAAAAGGAACGAGCGACTATGGACTCTCAACTTTGACCATGATGGAAATGGAAGCATTTTTCTCTGGAGTCGCTTCACACCGTTTTTCAGCCGCCTGCGGCAGACAGAATCGCTAATAGTTCCAATAAAGGCCGCCTATATCCAAGCAACAGCTACACTGCTACTGCTCAACATAGAAGATAACATAATCCGGCAGATGACTTGTTCCACTTCACAGAAGTCTATGAACTGCAACAACAGATACGGGGTTCTTGTAAATCACATTCCTGCGATTGTATCAATATCAAACTTCCTAGTGACAACGGCTGTACTTCCAGTGTTTGGAAATGAGCAAATAGTTATCGAGCTCATTATACAGCCTGTTTCAAATCTTTCATTTCCAGAAGCAACCAGAGGATCCTACATCCTATTCAACAGCCATCAGAGACAAGTTAAGTTCCCAGGTGAAAGTGGCTGCGCAGATTCACAGTCAATCATCCTGGTGTCAGCGGACAGCAGAGAAACAGTAACAACACTAGCTGGATGGTGTCCGCCAAAGTGGACTCGGCCCATAAATGCACACGTAGCGATGTATAAGGACATAACTGTTTTTTGGACGATGACTGCGCCAGGCTCGGAATACAACATTCAGATGCAGCAAAGAAATTCCTCGATGGGAAGAAATGAAGTACATGTACAAGGAAGGCGACTGGTTCAACTAGCAAAAAACAATGTTATTGTAAGTGGTGGTGGTGACAGAAAAGATATTTGTAGATCCATTCCTCGACGCGTGGAGTGCTGGAATACCCAAACTAACGAGGTGCACAGAGTCAATCACACCATAGAGAAAATGCCAGGGCCACTGGTGTACCACGCAGCAATGCAGCACAATGCAACAAGTATAATAGTGTATGGTGGCTTCCTCTCTCTGTGCACAGAGCATGATAGCAGCCAGTCAGACATCTGGTTATTGTCCTTCCACAATCTTGATCAGTGCCAAGGGACATGGACTGAGCTTAGTCACAAAGTTCAACACGGACAACTAGCAGCACGGGCAGGGCACACAGTAGCTACAGTTGATGGCTTGCATTACATATTCGGCGGCCACCTCAACAGATCATACTGCGAGGAATCACTGACCGTGCTCAACGTTTCAGCAGATGCAAACACCATCACCATTCACAAGCTTGGCCTCTCTACCTGTTTACAAACTCGTAGCTACTCGACATTGGTGCATTACACCGAAAACGGACTACTGCTGTTCGGAGGAACAAATACGTTACTGAGCGAAGATGAGCTATCCATAGCATACCTCGTACAATTCACCTTTGGAGATTTGCAGCAAACTGCACAAGCAGTAGCGTTCTTCAGGCATGAGCCAATCACTAACCATGAGATTGTTACAGGTAGCAATGTGCTCTACATTTTGTCAGGCGTACGTCCAAGTCACCTCAGAACGGAAGAGAGATCGCCGGCATACAGCAATCCCCACTATTCAACAATACAGCGCCGTCACCTCTGCCCTGTTGGACAGGAAAGAACCGACAACGACACCTGCCAGCCATGCCCGACAGGATACTACTCAGATACACTACAAGGCAACTGTACCGAGTGCGAAGGATACTCAACGACAAACGGCACAGGTTCGTGGCAGTGCTACATGCCCTCTCCGTGCAAGTCAACAACATGCCATGGGCACGGGACCTGTACAGTGGAGGATTTCCAGGCCTCGTGTACATGCCACTTTGGATACGTGCCCTACGATCAGTGTCAAATACCGCTGGTCTACCTTGGCATCACTGCTGTAATGCTGGTTACCACTCTTGCATTGGCATACGCCATCCTCAAGTACAAGCAACGCAATCGCCAGCTGAACGCAAAGGAGAAAGAGCTACAGGACAAGCACAAAGAGCTGCGCGTTTCGCAGAAGAAGCTGCACCAGATCAACACTGGTGCGCGCATACAATGGTCGCAGCTGACCCGCCGACAGCGCCTCGCCAAAGGGCGCTTCTCGCAAGTCTGGCTCGCTGAGCTGTCAGACATGCTGGTAGCTGTCAAGCTACTGCCCGCGTACACAGGCAGGAATTCTCACACAGATGAGTTTGTGCAAGAAGCAGAGGTGCTCCGATCCATACGCCATCCTAACATCGTAATCTTCCTGGGAGCCGGTCAAGATCCTGCTACCAGGCGGCCATTCTTCGTGATGGAGTTCCTGAAAAGAGGATCGCTGTATGGCGTTCTTCACGACACATCCAATGTCTTCACTCACCAAGACCACCTTCGTTTCGGACTGGACACAGCAAAGGGTATGGCATACCTACACGCAACAAATCCACCGCGCATACACAGAGATCTCAAGAGTCCAAACTTGCTCGTCAGTGACAAGTGGGTGGTGAAGATTGCCGACCTGGAGACCTCACGTTTCATGGCGATATTCGAGCAAGACAAACCCCAGAAGCAATGCCGCAGCACAGCAACAGCCGCCGCCTCCAACACACCCTCGTGTAATCAAGAAACGCGCGACGCCAAGCCCTGCAACGACATGGAGATGACTGAACAATCACAAAACGATAACACCAGCATCAGCACTAGCAGCATGACTGTGCCTCTGCTCACCAACATCGCAACCAACCATGGCGAGACATACCAACATTACTCAGCCAAGGTTCTGACACGCGGTGTTGGCACACTCTGCTGGTCCTCACCAGAGTGTTTAAAACAGGAGAGCTATGATGAAAAAACCGACATCTACAGGTAAGCTGATGACGCGGAATGAAAACTACCGTATTTTCCGGAGTATAAGCCTCACCCAGGTGTTTTGTTACGAAAAACAGACATCAACCCTATTAATTTATCACCACTACTTTGATCATTGAAGTATAAGCCGCACAGACTTTTTTTGGGGTGAATTACTGGTGTTTTTTTAAGTGCAGCTTCTACTCGGAAAATATGGTACAGTATTCGTACACCTGGCCAGCCCAGATCACTACTTTCTGCAAAACTATACTTGGAACGTAAGCTCGCCAGCATACAGGCGGCATGCAACTAAACACAGTATTGTAAAAATGTCTCCAGGTTGCCGAGCATACCACACTGCAAACCTTCTGTCAGTGTTAAAATAGACGCCAGGGACCTGGCAAGTACTAGGCCAACTGAGAGAAAGTGTCGCTTGGTCGTACATGTACTAGCATGGGTTGATGTTCAAACCCAAGCATACAGTCAAGATTCTGTCCACATAAATCACTGAGTTCTGTATGGTTGATGGTTGCATGGTGCATGATCGGCTGGGCAAATGCACTCGCCTCTATCTCGCATAATTCAGTGACAATTACACCTCTGAATTGAAAACGTGTTGCTTTAGGAAAGAAACGGGATTTCCTTCTCTTCCAATGTACTGTACAGCTACGGTGTAGTCTTGTGGGAAATCTTCACCCGACAACTGCCATATAGCCACCTTAGTACGGAAGAAGAGATTGTGAAAGAAATCGTTGATGGCCGTGGTCTTCCACTACCCGCCCATATGCCCTACGACTATCGCCACCTCATCGAGGCATGCATGCGCACGGAGCAAACGTCACGACCGGCCTTCCCCGAAATCATTGCACGACTCGAGGAGCAGCAAATCACCGTCGCGCAGTGAGTGCGGCAGATACGAGCATGGGCACTGCAATGGCACCCACGATTCGCCATGCTCCACTACTGCCCATAGGCCCCGGGCGCAATGAGTGCGGCAGATACAGGCACTGCTACTGTAATGCCAGACACAATTCGCCATGCTCCTCAGCTGCCCATAGGCCCAGTTGAACAGCAGCCACAAACGAACTGATCATGTCAATGGGTCTGCCTGATACAGATCACTCTACACAGCATATGACATTAATGCATCTCCACAGAAAATTCCTTTCACACAGCAACGCCGAGAAGGTTACAGACCCAGCGGTGAGAATCATCTGCATACGTGTGTTTTAAAAGACTCTCCTTTTTATTGCACAGAACATCTTGCACAGGTGCCATGCATTATGCATTTAGAATATTTTTTAAATCATTTCTACCCACAAACACAAAACACTACTTACTGCTGATATACTGTGCATAGACAGCGGCTTGACATTGCCATCGAGCGACTTCAGATGCATCATTGACGCTTTCCGCTTCTGGCTCGTGATGCCTGGCACGGGCGGTGGCTTCGTTGCTGATTTGTCCAGCGGCTGCTTGCCGGATAGCGTTGACCAGGACTCGGACTTCTGCTCAGTGGCACTTACTACAGTGCATGGGAAGATTAAGAAGATTTCTCAGACAATGGCTGCTTTCATACGCGTGTATGTGTGGGTTGCTGAAGTGGCTACCCAAAAGATCCAATGCTTGTAGAATGTTTTGCAAATAAAAATGAAAGGCACGCGCACATGTACAGTCGACCTACCCTTATAACGATATTCGCGTCAGACCAAGAAATATTGTTATAAGGGTAATATTGTTATAGGGGTAACTGGTTCATTTCATACACATACGTCATAATGCATGAGTTTTGTCCATTTTTTACACTCTTCATAGCATAAAAAACTGACGTACATTCACATTAAGGAGGCTTCGCTCTACGGAATTACGTATGAAAATAACGTATGAACTGCACGGAATTTTCATACGTAAAAATCAGAGCTGTTGGGTTTCGCTCAACGTGATTTCTCCACGACTGCTAAACATGCGTTGTTGCTTTGGAGACGCGTTGGCTGCATGCGCCCGCCGTATGCACCATGAACCAAAACCGCGTTTTCCATGATATTATGCACATGGTGTACGGTGTGTGTACCTTGTGTTTCGCGCGGCTTGAATGTTGCCATGGACAAATGCGGAAAATGCGAAAAAATATTTCAAAAAGTCCTACGGAGGACCCAACGTAGGAAAGAGCTTTCCTACGGAAATCCGTAGAGAGATTTACGTATGAAAGTTGCCCTCGCTCCCCGGCGCGTACGACATACGGATTTTCATACGTAATTACGTAGAGCGAAACCTCCCTATTATGTACACAGCAAGGTGCCCACTGCTGCCCCCATTGCATTTCGTCATTTTCCAGCAACTTATCAAGTGAAACTTGCCCTACCTGGATAGAGGGCTCTACATATTCCCTCCTATTCCCTGCTAGTTATTGTTATAAAAGGGAAAATGTCGATTGGTCAGCCCATTTTATATTGTTATAGGGGTAATATCGTTATAGCAATATTGTTATAGAGGTAATGCATTGTATACACAAGTCAATGGAGTGATTCGGTTTGGCAGATAAATATCGTTATAAGGGTAATATCGTTTTAGAGGTTATCGTTATAAGGGTAGGTCGACTGTACTTCTGTGCCCTTTCTGGCCTTGCCGTGCAGTAGAATAGAGCATACAAACAACGCGCGCGCGTGCGCGCACACACACATATGCACAGTGCCACACACGCATGCACACACGCATGCAGACACTTGAATGCTCTATTATAAACAGGACAAGTATTGACAACCCGGTCTTTTCATCTCAGTTTTGAACACCAGCCTATACTTTTTTGGGTTATTTCTTGAAAAAGAAAAAAAGAATCAATCAAAATCAATGCCTCACAAGATTTTTCTTTCTAGACACACAATATCACCTGACATATTCTGCTTCAATTCTTCACACGGCACGCTATACACTCCTGAGTACACCACCATGATGTCAGCGCTTACAATAACAGTTGGAAAAAAGTTGTTACTTGCCGGATTGCAATGCTGTTGAATACGTGACCACTGCAGTAGGAGACTACACGTCTTTAGAGACAGGTACGGATGATTCTCCAGTAACAAACCCTCTTTCAAGGCACACAGCTAAGCAGGTCAACCATTGATAGACCAGACCAGAATATACCAGCACTTGCTTTATCAGATGTCAACTTTTGTATGTTCTGAAATTGGGGCCGGTTTTTTTATTGCCGCCTGTCTGAAATAAGCGCCACATCATTTCAGGGATTTGGTGTGGATTTTTTCAAAATGGGTGAAATAATTGGGCTCGCAAACTACTAAGCGCCTCGGCCAGTACTGCCGAAAATGGGGTAAGCAGTAGGTGACCACTGACCACATAGACCCAGCCCACTGGCAACACGGCCGACCGCCACCCACAATCATGCAGAGTAGTTGCCTTACCTGGCGGAGGATTCTCTGGAACTGATGGCTGGCGACCGTCGATAGCTAGCCAATGTGCTGTCACGCAAACCACCAAAAGCAGAAACGAACGGATACTGGAAAGTTAGTTGCTACACTCAACTCAATACTCTTTCGCACTGCATTGTAGCCCAGCAGCAGCCAACAGTCGTTGCAAATGAGACTACGAAGTGGGGCTTATAATCAACTTTCAAAGCACACTGTCGTACTGGGATGAATAGGATACACCTCTCTAAACCGGGTACTTCAGGACCGACGGGTCACCATATCTCAGAATCGCTCGTAGCTCAGAAATACACTGCAACCATAATGAAGTATAACACACGGTGTTCCACACCACTGTGTTTGGTTGGGCTCACTCAACTAAGATCGATCATTCACAGGAATAAACAATAGGCGCCGAGAGTTCTTCAAGATTTGACTGTACGTATCTGCTTGAAATGTGTATGGTTGAGGGAGATGCGGATACGAGTTCTACGGTATTTATCAAACAGGTGATACGTATTTCAGCAGCCGCAAATGATGCCACTGAATGAAAAAAGTGCTCAAAGACACTTCTGTAAGTGTAAACAATGAAATACAGTACTCAGTACATTCCAAATCCAAGTAGCATCCATAGCTGGAGCCAGTGAAATAACTGTGGGGCCATGTTGTATTCAGGTGCACCTCACAGCCTTTGCATTGCTGGTAGCACTACTATGCAGCATTCAACACTGAACTGAATGCGTCTACGAGAGTTCAAATTTACTGACCACTGGCAGTGCCGCCGAAGGGGAATCACTATCAGCCAACTTACCTCTTATGCTGATGTCAGCGGGTACTTTGGGCAGGGGATGTCCAATAATGTCTTGAACGTCTATCTCCGTCTCTTCGTGGAAGTGCAACTCCCGACCACCGCCAGACGCTTGGCGAAAGGGCAAATGCTCCGTCGATGAAAAGCCATACAGTGGCTGCAGAAAACGGCGAAACGAAATGTACAGTGGAGACAGCAACTTAACGCAACCGGTCTTCAGCTTTACACAAGCACCAGCACGTGCCACAAGTACATCAGGGTTCGCACCAAGTCATGAAAATAATTATTATTCAAGGGTTTTCAAGGGCCCCAAACCCCATTTTTTCAAGGACATTCAAGGACATTAGTTGGTGGGCTAACCGTTGGTTGGAACATCGCCGCCATTATCACTCAGAGAGAAGGCATCGCGCTCAGAAGAAGAGGTGTTCACGCTGCGTCCAAGAGTGAACTATTGTGCTCTTTGACCCTCCATAGTTCCTCTGAGAGAGTGCCTGGGAGATAGGTAGCTTGGAAATGGCCGTAGAACGTGCTTTCCTGGACGCAATATTCAGCCATTTCTACTGTCTTCTTCAACTTGATTTATTTCGAAAAAATGTTATTTTTCAGGGTTTCTGCACTGGACGCGTTTGGGATCGAAAATCTCACCTGCGCAAACAGGCTGCGCAGCTCACGCGCTGAGATCCCTATCAGTACTACCAAGAGTGGATCCACTCTTGGTACTAGATCTACGGACTACGGTACCGGTTACGGGTACCCAGCAGTGCGCGTAGACCTACTGCATGAACGTGAGTAGATCTACCGCATTCAAACCCAAAATTAAGGAAAAACACACTTTTTTCAAAAATTCAAGCACCCACACGAAAATTCAAGGATATTCAAGCACTTTCAAATCCGGCTTTGACATTCAAGGACTTTCAAGGAATTCAAGGAGTGGTGCGGACCCTGTACATGTACCAGCTGATGAAGGCATAGTAAACTCTTTAGATAACATCCATCACCAGGCATCTCTTATCCATGCCAAAAACATACATGTACTTGTACATGCACAATTACCGCTACGCTATGCCCCTAAAGGAAACCCATGCAACTCTGGAACACTCACATCGACATTCTGAGCAGCCAGGGCATAGTCAAGATCATCACGGCACAGGCGAGTGCGCCTGGACTGATTCATAAACTTCTTCGATTCCTGCGCAGGGCATTCGCGAGCGCGTGCACACACACACACACACACACACACATACGCACACACACACACACACATACACACACGCGCACACATATATACACACACACACACAGAGGGTATAAGCCGTCAAAAATATTCCCAATTGCACAAACACGTCGGTTTCAACAAGCACAACTAAGCCACACCGCAGAGAGGATCATGTGATTCATGTCACACCAGCGACCAATCATGAGTACTAGTCAGCGGCCAGTAGTGTTGGTAGCCTGTAAACATGGAAGCCTCTGCCCATGGGAGACTTTTCACTGGCTTCTCGGCGAGTGGTATTTCTTTGGGAAGTGTTCGTAAACTCCACTGCAGCCATTTACATATTTTATGACTTCTAAATCTCCCAAACGGTCTCTTTACTGCGAAGAACTGACTCACATGTGCATTTCAAAAACAATGTTGGGCCTGACCCATCATCTGGTGTACTTATGAGCTTATGGTGACGAACACACCGACAATGTGAAAACTGACATCCAGGTGTGGATATGGGAGCTGAGGTGTAGTAAGCAAGGAAGCGTAGGCGATGTATGTATGAGAAGTAGGGTGGTGTACATGTATGTGTGTGTGTGGGGGGGGGGGGGGGGGCTCTACAAAAACTCGCGAGATAGGCGTGAAGATTCATTGCTACACTGTCTATGTACCGGCGTGAACAATCATGGTGACAAAATTACAAGCGTAGCGTCTACGCAATTAGAATAACGAGGCCATGTGTCGAAAACAAAGGACAAAGACAAATTTCAGTGGCATTTGCAAAGGCTTACTGCAAAACTGAGATTCGACGTTAAAGTGTACTATTTACACAGATAAATTCGCACAAATTGACTATCGCAAATCTGTCAGCGCTTGGAAATCGCGAACTAAAACTGGCACAACAGTTTCCCGCTTACAGGTAGCAGCTATGGCAGGTTACCTGGAGTTTTCTTAGAGTTTGGTGAAGCAGTATGCATCTGGCAAGTCCAAACTCACACATTGGACGAGCATCAATGCACACAGGTGCACAGAACTGCTCAATGAAATTCAGTCACGTGAGTCAAGGTGCGCCTTGCACCATTTCGCAGCCCAGTGTTTGCAGGTCTAGGGCTGCGCAACGCCCGGCGCGTACTTGACTCTGGAGTGACTCGGCTGGATTTCATTGAGCAGCACTGTACACGCATTTGAAGATTCCCCACTGGATCTTGACAATCATTCATATTATACCTTGTATAGAAGAGGAATGATAGAATCTCAACACCCTCAGTCAAATTAATGAATGATTGCATGATCATATTACATATTTCCAGCAGCTCTATGTTGGAATAAATTCATGTTTGCGAGACATCAAGATTTTTTTGTTCAAAAAGAGGACCAAAAGTTTACAAGTTTAATATCCGTTTTGTCCAACACTAACGACCGGTTATAAGCAGAATACTGTTGAGTCAAAAATGTGCAACAATTAGCACAACACGTGCAACACTACTTGTTATTGCCGTTTTTTAGTCCATCACAAGTTCCATTCCACATGTACACATGTAGTATAGTACGAAGAGATAGTGCCGTCGTCCGGTCTGTCTTGCTTCATGATCGCGTAACTTCCCCCCTTTTGCTTATCTCTGATAACATGAGCCTCCCAAGTTGGGTGGTCGTTGTTTCGCGTTTCCGAAGTGAGCTGTGGCCGTCCTGTGACGTGGTACTTCGTCCTTCATCACCATCTTGTTATAGCTAACATTCTTAGTTCGCTGTGATGTTTAGCTTGTTTTCGTCTAGAGTGCGCTCACCTTCCCCTTTCTTACGTTACTTTATAACTTAGAACCTTCCAAGTTGGAAGGCTGCTGGTTTGCGCATTCTAGACGTGATGCAGCTAAGCATCAGGTCGTTGAATGTCATGATCTCATCAGTCAGTTTTGTGCTAATTGTTGCACATTTTTGACTCAACAGTATTCTGCTTATAACCGGTCGTTAGTGTTGGACAAAACGGATAACTTGTAAACTTTTGGTCCTCTTTTTGAATTTTAATCCTTGGCTCTCCATCCGATTTTTTTGTTCATTGAAATTTATTGATCTCTGGGGTACAAACTGAATCACCTATTAGAGAATTTGAATCCATTTGTGACTGCTAGTTATGATGATAATTGCAACGACACGCGCACTCCAGAAAGTGAAGCACAGCTCACGATGAACGCAAGTGTACTGTACCTGAACAAGCTGTCTTAGCCGGAACATAGCATCATCTGCCAGGCGTGCACATGCTGCTTCGCCTATTTGAGATATTCCAATGGACTCAGCAATAGTTTTTATCGACTCCACAGTCAATGTTTCGCTACTCGTTTTGTCACTGACTGACGCCATACTCGCTGCTCAGTGCATACCACCACGCTCCTCTCAGCAACAAGTAACAAATAGCTCCTCCTTATATTTTCAGCATCAAACAGAAGTGAAATCGACAGCAAACAATTAATCTCAAGATCTGAAAATCTGAACAGTATTTTCCACTGAAAATGACTGCATGCATGTTAGAGTTCTTTTTGTTTTGTACTTCAATCACGTGACCAAAAGGCAGAAATCGGCTTGAAAGTGCTACGTCACAGCATAGCAACAATTCAAAAACTGGATCCACTTGGATCCAGTTTTTGTATGGATAGGATCCAAGCACATTTCAAGCGGTCACCCATACTCCCCCCCCCCCCATGGTGATGTAGCCAGTGAAACTGACTGATTTGGCTACTGGGGGCGGGGTTACAACTGGTGGTGAAATAAAAGTCACACCTGCATGCGACATGAGTGGGTTGCTATGCACCCACATACTTAGGCAATAGCAAAGTCACACCTTAGACTTAATGGATCCAAAAATAGAAATCTGATGTCAACTTACTACTCCCTGGCCGTTTTGACGTCATCACTTTCAAGCCCTATTATCTTTTTATTTTTTATGTAGTAGTATTCTTTTATTTTCCATCGGAAGCCTCAACAGTGATGAACACAACTCTTAAGAGGGCCGATAACAGGGTAGAGGGGTGTGGGGTGAGGAAAAAAAAATAAAATAATAATAATCTTTACTTATAAAAGAGAGGCACCTGTGACGTGTGTCTGTGTGTGTGTGTGTGTGTGTGTCACGCTCCTTATAAAGAAGAGGCACCTGTGACGTGTGTTTTTGTGTCACGCTGAAGCGCTGCGGAGCAGCGCTGCCCTGAGCACGCGAAGCGTGCGAACAGTGTAGCACAGTGTAGCTAGCGGCCGCAGAAGCACTAGTACTGAGCACGCGAAGCGTGCGAATCGTGTAGCTAGCGGAAGCAGCCACAGCACTGAGCACGCGAAGCGTTCGAATCGTGTAGCCACCACCACGTGCTGAGCACGCGAAGCGTGCGAACAGTGTAGGTACGTAGACCCGGGTGCTCGAATCAGAAACGATTTGACAGGTGTGCAATTTCTCATCTGTAAATCTCAACAATGTCAGAATATACTTTTGGAGAGGCGATGGAACAGGGAAGAGAGTCTGGCTTGACCCACCCAGCAGGAATTCAGAACATGGGTGCGCTACAACACAAGCTACAGACGCAGTAAAATTGTCGTATTTCCTTCGGATTTTTTATTTCTACGGTGGTAGCGCTTATACTTATACTATAGCAGACACGATCAGTACGAGTAGCAGTAGCAGCCGCGCGCAGAAGCACTGGACACGCGAAGCGTGCGAATCATGTAGCCACCTAGCCTAGGCCATAGGTAGCACTAGCAGCCGCACAAGCGCTGCGGACCACGTGAACCGTTCTCTGCAAATAGAAACATCTCCAACAAAAGGATACAAAAGATCTGCACTGACTGCACTCTGCATCTGATCTGCAGTGAAGAGCGCATCGCACTTTTGTTCGTAAGTTTTTGAACTTTTTGAGCCGCTTCATCCGCCACCAGGTGATGGACAACCCTGACCAGCCTCCCGAAGGCGTAACAGACGTCCCTCCTTCTCCTTCCAACGATGAAGAACCTCCCTCACCAGGACTTCAGCGGTCTAGGTCTGGCCACCACCACGTGCTGAGCACGTGTGCTGTTCATGTACTTGCTTCACCCGCGCATGCCACATTCGGCCAGGCAACGCTGGCGGGGGTGCTGCTAGTAGGAGATATTTAAACTAAACTAAACTGATACTTGGAACAATAAAGCAGCAGTAAGCAGTAAGCAGTAAACACAGGTATACAATACAAGCGATGCAGATGAATGAGGCCGTTTGCTGAAAAGAAGATCTAAATACTTCTGAAAAGACGCTGCGTCTTTAAGCATGGTCATAATGGGATAGTGCAAGAATTAAAGAGATGTTTTTAAAAACGAATTTAAACTAGGAACGCAGTAAACACAGTTATACAATACAGGCGGTGCAGATCAATGAGGGAGTTTGCTGAAAAGAAGATCAAAATACTTCTGAAAAGACGCTGCGTCTTTTAGCATGGTCTGAAGGTGCTTAGCAAATGTAGTGCGGTGCTGGGTGCGCCACTCCACAGGCAAAGAATTAAAGAACAGGGCAGCACGATTTGAAAAGGAATTGACACCGTCAGTCGTCCGGAATTTAGATATTGCAATAGCAGCATTAAAAGAGCTTCTTGTTGTCCTAGGGCCGGTTGAAACTTGAGGGAAAAGGTCCGTCAGATTTGGGAGAGGGAAAACGACATGATTAACATGGATAAATTTAGCAATGCTACGAATAAGGTAATGTTCAAACGGATCGATCGACAATCTAGCTAACAGCGGCATGACGTCCTCTTGTAGTTTCGAGCCACAAGCAGCGCGTACAGAACGACGATAAACGGACGAGAGTCGCTGTCGGTCCTTGGCGGATAGCTTCATTGCAAAGCAAGAGCAGCAGTATAATAAGTCAGGCAGGATAACCGAGAGGATAAACTGCCGTGTTGCCTTCAAACTTAGTTGCCGAAAACACCGTCGAAGAGCGCCAATTTTCGTGCAAGTCTTCCTAACGATAAAGTCTATGTGACCAGACCAAGAAACATCACTGTCTACAATGACTCCCAGGATTCTCGTGCTAGACACTTGAGTCAGAGGCTGTTGGTTAAAAACGATTGGAGTTGAGAGGGGTTGAGAAGACTTAGAAATCATCAAAGTTACAGTCTTTGTTGTATTAATGCGCAGCCCAAGCTCGTCTAGATCCACAGAAATTGCAGATAACGAATCAGTAACGGTAGCGACGGCCTCAGCTTGTGTACGTCTGCTGGCATACAACGTCATGTCGTCAGCGAACATCGGGAGCTTGCAAGAAAAGGCCTCTGCTGTCAATGGGAGCTTCCGTACATATATGTTAAATAGCACCGGACCCAGAATGGTGCCCTGTGGCACGCCACTAGTGATTGCCACCAACGGAGATGTTCCAGTGTGGGTAACCACCCGCTGTTGTCTGGCACAAAGGTATGATCGGAACCAGGCCAGGGCCACTCCCGAAATACCGACAGCTGCGAGAGCAAGAAGAAGCTGTTGATGCTTCACCATATCGAACGCTTTTTTCAAATCAATACAGACAACCGCCGTATGCAGTCCAGCGTCGCGCGAGACAAGCCAGTCGTTCGTAACCTTGGTGAGAAGCTGTCCGGTAGAACGGTGCTTCCGAAAGCCAAACTGGTCCACATGGAATGGGCAACGATCATTAAAAAAAAGATGTATACGAGAAAACACAAGCCCCTCCAGGAGCTTGGCTAGGATAGATGTTAAAGACACTGGGCGGTAGTTAGAAGGGCAGTCGCGGGGGCCTTGAGTTGACTTCAGAATTGGTGTAATGTTTGCAATTTTGAACAAGGATGGGAATTGACTAGACGAGAGGGAAGTGTTGAATAAGATAGCAAGTGATAGAGCAATTACGTCTTTTGATATTTTAAGTAGACACGGAAGAATGCCGTCCGGTCCAGGGGCTTTATTACTTTGGAGGTCACCGATCCGAAGCTTCACCTCTGCTACTGTAACGGCTGAAAACGTAGTAAGGTCGTCGGATTTAGCAGGTCCCATTGGGAGCTTGTAATTCGCTTCCTTATCTGTGACAATCGAGTGAAAATAGTCGTTCAATCGCTCAGGTGGGATGGTAACTGTTTGCTTCGGAGAGGAACGCTTTGTGATCATATTCAAGGCTTTCCAGAACTGCCGAGGCTCCCGTTCATACCGCTGGCACTGGTCTGAAAAGTAAAGATTCTGTAGGTGTCGATACAAGTTATTGCACTGGTTGCGCAGCCGCTTGAATTGTACAGATAGGCTCTCGTCTCGAAAGTTAGTAGCTTTTAGTTTCTTGAAGACCGATTTGCGCTTTCTAATCAAGGCAAGGAGTGGCGAGGTCATGAACGGGCAATTTTTCCGACGGGACTTCCTGTGTTTCCTGGTTACGTACGGTGCGATGATATCAAGCACAGCATTGACTTTCCCTGTCCACTCGTCCAACATCAGGTCTGGGGTACGGGATGTAAAGATATGAAGATCGGAGGACAGCAGCATATCGCAGAAACGCTGAGCGTTGAAGTTCCGGTAGTCTCTGCGTGTTTGATGGGTAGTAGTATTGCTCCGCGCATCCATGATGGGCACTGGGACGGAAGTAATGACGAGGCGATGGTCTGAAAACTCACAGTCCACGACAGAGGCTGACGGAACTCGATCAATGTTTGTGAGAATACAGTCAATGGATGTATGGGTAGAGCCTGTTATTCTTGTTGCTTCAGTTACTTTATTGGCCAGTCTGCACGGAAGTAGCAACGTGTCTTTGAGATGGTGGAACGCACTGGACGTCTGACGCAGAAAGTCCACATTTATGTCACCTAGCAACACAATATTCTCGCCGTCCAGCTGCTCCGTGGATGTAGCGAGCCGATTCCAAAACTCTACCGGCTCGGATGGGGGACGGTATATGCAACCAAACAAGGTACTATCTTTGCCTGTGCCAGCTCTAAGCCACATCAACTCTAGACTGGAGTGTGAGTGGTCCAAGATGTGCTTAGCCTTAACATGTTCCTTTACGAAGATGCAGATCCCGCCTCCTTTACGACATGGAGTGCAGGAGGATAGGCAAGTGCATCCATCAGCGCACGGCCTGTCTCGACGTAAGAGAATTGTGCCTGGTACAGAAACCTCAGTGTCCGAGATGCTTGAGTCGAGCCACGTTTCCGTAACCGCCAGCAGATCTAGGCAGTGCTCATCTATTAGCTTAGTTATAACATGGGTTTTATGTCGTAGGCTGCAAATGTTTATGTGGCCAACATTTAGTCGGTTGGATGGATGAATTGTAGAGTAGAATGCTGGGGTTGAGGGATTTGGAGACGAAGGGGTGAACACAGGAGCATGCGGGTTCAGGGGCTGTGAATACCGGTAGGTGGTGTGTGGCATTATGTGAGTGCTGGAGCTGTGCCGTCAGCACCAAAGCGCCATTCACGAACTGCAAAACCGAGCGAGTCCGGCCAAAATGCTTTGTCCTGTACGGTGGTGGCGTCCGACGCCAGCACTGT